AATCTAGGGCAAATAATTGCAACTTAATGGCAACTTAATACAACTCAAATAACTTTTCCCTGTGAACAATCCAACCACAAAATATGCCCATCCACTCTGTTTAATCCATTCTATGATGGTTAACAGAAATTAGTTTCAATCAAATTCTCTACTCTAAGAAGAGCAACATCATAAATTATCTTGTACCCACCTGTAAACTCTTAAATCACAGATGAGAAATTTGTATGTTAGTTGGAGACTAGACTTGTCTGTGCATCCTTCTTTCAGTCTGGACTTTGTGTCTTGACCATTTGCGTGATCTGTAGATCACAGTCTGCTTTATGGACTGACTTCTTTATAACAGTGCTGATTTATTTAAAAATAGGCAATTTGCCCATACCCAAATGTACGAGATAGGTGATGAGGAAGCTGCCTTCCCCTATATGAAGAAAGTAACCTGGAGCTCAGAGCACAATGGGCACACCTCAAACATCTCAGTTCCTTCCATTCTCTTAAACAGCTACAATCTCTGTACAAATGGCTTGATGTCTGTGTTGTTCTGAACTGGAATTCTCTCACCCAGCTTGAAGAACTCTTCAGGTTTTGATTCCTGCTACGCATGTCTCCCCTTTGCACTAAGATGGAGCTGCCTAATTTTCACTAATGAAGTATGCACTTTCTTCTATCCTACCAGGTTGATACCTCACATTTACAGATCTGCTTCACCACATTTTTTAATGAATAATCAAAATGGAAAAATGAATTTCTCCTCTTTCTTCCCCTCTGTCCTGTTTTGCTATTGATAACTGTTGCTAATCAAAATTTGTTCCTGAGTTTCTCTCCTCTGAAAATTCCATGTTTTATGCTGGGAGGGGGAGGAATGATAACAAAAAATAATATTTGAAAAATTATAATCTATTTAGTTTCAAAGGATAACCCCAAAAAGCTATTTCACCCTGTCAGGGAAACGCTTATCATAAGATTTTAGTCAAAGCTCCATTTTGTGCCCAATATTTCTCATTAAAAGTTTTGTATCTAGTGTGCTTTGCACTCTGTTAAGTGGCATTAACGTTCAAGCTGCTGCCAGCTCAAGCTGTTGCCAGCATGAGCATGGGGGTCACAGTCCCCTGCTGGCTAAAGCATCCAGAATGTTTAGGGGAAAGGGAGAGAGAAGAAAACAAAACTTCATAAAAAGTAATTTGAAACTCTCTTGGTTTGGAAGGAGTGTGTAGCTTTGCATAAAGAACAACCATTAGCAAGTTTGCCTCTCACTTCCTTACTGTTTAGAAAAGTCCTTGTCCTCAAAATGCTGTCTGATTTCTATCTTACTCAGTTTATGTTGGGAGGATCTCAGTCTCTTTCTCTCAAAACTGTCCTCTAAGCACCACATAAACAAACTCTGTTATAGCTATTGAAGACTAATGAGTTTTACTGATGTTTGGAAGAGAAATGGTGAGAAAAGATAAGATGAGGACAAGCTAAGAAAATGGGCAGTGGGAGTTGGTGGGAGGAATAACCTTTAAAAATTATTTGATAAAATGAGGAGGAACTGAAATTCAGTATGAGTACTAGAACTTCAGCATTAACAGCTTTCCATACTAAGCATCTCCAGGGCTAAGGCATCCTTTGCCTTCAGATTTTGACTTCAGGCCCCAATCCAGCAAAGTACTTAAGCCTGAGTAGTATTATCAAACTCAACCAATGTCAATGAGATTGGTTCATATGCTTAAATTTAAGCACGTACTTAAGTGCTTTGCTGGACCAGAGCCTTGCTTGTTCTAGCCTATGGTTACCGTCTAAGTAGGAAATATCTATCAAGCACAATTCAGATGTGCAAGGGATAACCATTGCTTATCATGCAGGAGATTTTGGAATACTGGATGAAGCAGCTATCTGCAGGACATCAGACTCCACGTTTTCAGGTAGACAAACAGTTTGAGTTCAACAACAGCTATGCAGACTTAAGTATCCAAGAGATGGCAGTCTGCAACATATTTATTCGAAATTAATTCCTTAAAACTTCCTTCCAGTGGCTTTTACAGTGATAGTTTAGCACCTTCATTGACATTATGGTTCACAACCACTATCACAGTTCAGAGAACACTTCTTAATTGTAATCCATGATCCTCTGAAAGCTTCACATTTCAAAAACCTTCTTTCTAGAGAACAAAATGTTATTGATTGCTTTTCCTATGTCTGTCTCCGGTTTCTCTTTCATCCTGAGCCTTACCAAAGCGTTGTACTATTATCTGTGTCCTTCAATCACACAGCAAATGCACATCTAGTAAAGGAGGGAGAAGTATTCCAGCATAGGACCCTCGTATTCCAGCGGAGGCAAACATTTTGCTGCCTTCCTTAAGAAGAAGGAAAGAAAATATCCTAGTCAGTCTCCATGAAAATAGTTTGCATGACTTGTGAGCAGCCCACCTGGAGCATCCTCAGATTTCTAGTCTGCAAGAAGGCAATTTTGAAATCTGTTCCAGATATTTTGGACAGTCAGAAAAAAAAGAGACCTCCTGAGAACAAGAACAATGCCAAAAAATAAAACTGGTAGATGGGAAGAAAAACACTGAAGGTCAAACTCAGTATCAGGATCAAACACTTATTAGCTTACAAGTATTTTTACAAGTAATTTTAGACTCATCTGATTTATAATCTTAAGGGTCAGCTCCTTACAGGTAAGACACTGGCTTTTCTACACTAGAGCTGGTTTGGATTGTGTAAAGGTGACTATTCACATCAACACAGATCCCAGGAGAACATGTTTGAGGTGAAAGATGGCCAAGAATTCCACAGCAGCTACCTCAATTCTGACCACACTTCATCGATGTCAACATAAAGCTAAAGCATACAGAAAACATCTATCAGCCATTGCATATCAAGCTCCTTACAACCAGATACAAAGCCATAATTTTCATCCTTTGACATAAGCCCATAATTTTCAGTCTCGTTTTTAAGGCAAGGGGATTTTTAACAACTTATTTATATTCAGAGTTTATAACTTGTATTTGTGGAGTGCTGTGATGATTTGTACGTGTGTGCCCTTCAAATTAAATTTTGGAGCTTTGGATTTTAAAAAAACTTATTGTTGTCTGTACACATATAACCCCTCTTTATGTATGTACATTTGTTTATGAATAGAGCATTTTTTTAAAACCAAGACCTCCCTGAAATATACACACAAGTTCTAAAAGATGCCATAATCATACGATTCTGCCCTCAAAATAGCAGAATGGCAGTAATAAATAGATCAAAGACTTCCCTATGCTAATAGGGAGTATGAGTAATAAACCACAGTATTTCCTATCCTGTAATGAGTGTCACGGTTCTGATCCATAGGGTCTCACATCTTTTGCCTGCATACAGGCACGCACAGGCTCACAGAGCAGATGTGAAAGTCACAAGTCTCTAATGTAATTCATGCTCCAGTTCAGCAGCTATGAGGGTATGCTAAAGACAACGCTGTGACTAACACGGCCAAGAAATTCCTGAGAGAATAAGAATGACTGTTAACAGTTCTGAGAAACTCTTCCTCTGGGTTATTATCCCATAGAGAGATATAATGGGGTTTAGTGGTCTTAACCAAACAAACAGCTCTGAGAAACAAGACATATTCCCTCTGAGATTATAGTGAATGAAAAACAAAAAGAACATCTTATGTTAAAACTAATTTGAAACATTCGTGATATTGTCAGTGAAGTACTTGGACTTCTTCCTGCTTTGTGCATCAGGTCAGAGTTTCCATACTCCCAAAGGGAACGAAGCATTGGCTGAAAAAGAGAAAGTCCCATTTATTGTTATCTTTTCACAGCTGGCTTCATTGGACAAGGGTGAGGCCTGGGCACACACAGTGATTATTACAGCCACCAGAAGACAGTGCACTAGCAACTCAAACAGGCACTCCTGTTTAAATTATTTACATCTGAGACACTCTGCTCACCAAAGTAACTGAAAGGGAAGTTGCTTCAAAAATCTATTTTCTTGTAGCATTTTCCAACTCCTTGAGCTAACTGGCAAATGAAAGATGTGATCCAGTCTTGGGGCACTGAAAGTCAGAAACAAAGTAAAAAACTACCTGACTAATGGCTTAGGATCATTTTAACATTTCAGAGGTGTCAGGTTCCTTTTTTCTAACACCACCTCCTTACACTGCCTAAAGAAACTTTGCAGTTCTTACACAGGCTAAACTCACTAAGTAACACTTTCTTGTTATACCTGAAGTAACGAGCAGTAACTATTTCCTCAACTGCCTCTCATGCATTTTAAGCTGTATCCAAGCAAATCATGTGAACAGGGTAGATGGGGAGAAGAAAGATAGTTCTGTGACTAAGAATCAGTGCTAGAACTCAACTCCTGGTACTCCCACAGATTTCCCAGCTCAGTCTTCTGTGCTCCTTTTGTCTCTGAAAAAATAACAACAGTAGAAATATTTCTAATATCTAACCTGTAAGTTTTTTGTGTTATGTTTCTTAGTATGCTGAGACAGGGATTAGCAAAATCAAGCACTGGTTGCAGGCTGAAGTTCTTTAACATCATAGGAGCCCTCAAGAGAACATTTGATAGCATCACTCATCTATCTGCATTGTCATACAGTCCAGATGGTTGCAGTATGTAGGCAACTGGGAACCAAAGCAGCAGGAGTAGTACATCCTGCTGCAATTTCCTTGTGGTGCTAATCTTGATGCATTTAGCATTTAAATTAGTTTGTTGGTTAGGAAGTCTACAGCTCTGGATAGATGCACCCAAGGAGACCTAGCAAACAAAATATACCATAGCAACTGTGTTCAGTAGCTTGCCAACTAGCAAATGACCAGATTTGCCCATAAAAATTCTATAAAAGATTACTGCAGCTCAGCCAAGCGACGATTCCCTACTCGGCAGAGGGAATTTTGAGTTCCACAAGGGTGGCATTCTGTTGCAAAGGGATCTGTTACTAAAAAAACCTCAGAAATCTGTGTACTTTAGCAGATTAACTATTACCATGATGTACTAACCCAGAGACAAAGAGGAAACTAGACTTCTTCCATTTGGCAAATGCACTTTTATTTCTGAATTAGCTGTAAGAGTTAAAATATTAAACATTCTAACATATGTACCCTGCCACACACATTAATTGGCATACTGGAACCATACTGCAAATAAAGAAAGTCAACATAAGTAATCATCTGCGTATGAGTATAGAGTTCTCAGGAACAAAGTTGTTATTTTTCTGTGTTACAGAAAGGAGGGTTTCCAAATCTTGAAAAGGTAAGACTTGAGGGGGAATTTGATATGCCCAAACTGTCTCTCTTTAGCACAGGTAAGAAAAATCTAAACACAATACAAAAAAACAGAATACAAACCGGCAGATACAAGAAAGGAAGAAGACAATGACATTTTTAAGGAGATAGTTCGTTCGTACAAATAAATTACTAAGTCTACAACTGTAATCATACTTATTTAAAGCCAAGTTAGTATAGATTTTATGGTCTTGAGAAATTTACTCAAACCTAAGACACATAATTACCAAAAGCAGAATATTACACTTGGTGATTTCCTGCATAGTTTAGTCACACATATAGCCTCACTGAGAACAAAGTACACAACTGCAGACTGTGAATCACACCCAAATTTTCCACCCATGACTATGTGAGGGAGGAATTTTTGACACCAATACAAATACTCAGTAGTAATGTGACTAAACATAATTATTTTATCTGGACTACTTGCTAGCTATCTACTTTGCTGGTAGAGAAGATTCTTTATGCTGCATAAATATCACCAAAATTATTCTTCATAATGCTAGCACTCTTGGGTTTTTATATTCAAAAAACCTCACAACTGAGCAACAGAAATGGACATTAAGAGAACTACAAGAATATGAGTGAGAACATAAGTTAACTGTATACATTCCCACTTTCCCAGGGAAAATCACTATGTAGGGAGTAAAAATATAATCCTTTTCGCACCCAAACTGGCCTGTGAAGGTGTATTCGAAAGTGTTGCATGTGGGAACAGACATCTGTGTTCTATCTTCATTTGTCATTTTAGTGTCTATTTCCAGGAAAACTGAAAGATAATTTTCAAAATTTGTCCCCTCAAAATAGCAAAAATAGATTGAACGCTCACAGACTGAACTATGCTCACCAGCAGTTCTTCTCAATCATCTGACAAAAAAAAAATTTTGCTGTATGTCTATATATGAGTAATTTAAAATCTTTCTAATCTGAAGAATCTGAAGTCTCTAGTTCAATTTACAGGTCTGATTGCTCACATATCAGTCAATAAAGATGTATTTAATGTGGCTATTGATTTCCTATTAATTTACAGAGCAGCAGGTTTCTGCAGAGGGAAGATTCCATTTTTCCAGTTGTAGTCTTCTTTAAAAAAATGTTCTGCAGAAAAAAAGAAAAAGATAGTGAAAAACATGCTGTTAGCTGTAGTGCAACTTTCAGTCTTTCTGAACTTTGCAACTCGATCTCGAGTAACTTTGATTTGTATTGTAAGTAAAAATTGAGAAGACCCCACATGCAACAAGAAATCTTACCTTTGTGTTTCTGGAGATCTACGACTGTACTTAGAGTGATTACAGCACAGAGAAGCCATATACAGTAATCTGAGTTTCTGACACAAGGATCATTTCAGAACAAACCCATTGTATAGTGACAAATTAAGAGATGCAAACTTCAGTGAAAACCAAACACTCATGAATACCTGTTTACAGGCACACTGTTGTAAAACAGAAGTAGAAACTTGTTCTTTGGACAAGCCTTCACAAGGAAGTAATTTGTAGTTGCTTATATACTTATGAGCTCACAAAGCCACAGCAGTGGTCCACAGATAACGAAAAAAAATTAGGTTAATCCTACTTGTTTAGGCAGGGCCTATTTATTTAATAGTCTAGCAGATGATAAACCAATTCTGCAGAGGATCTCTAAGGGACTTTATGCAGTAGAAACTAAATATTTATATTTTAATAGCACAGGCATGGCAAAAGCCCAAAGAACACTCCAGCATGCCAGGAACAAAAGCAAGCATGGCAAGCAATGCACAGGCAGGCACATGCTCAAAAAATAACGCAGCCTCACAATGGCCAGTCATGTTAACCCAGGTGTGGCTATTCACCATGAGGGACACTGCAGTGGCTACAGCTGCAGGAGATACCCTTGTCTGTACACGGGTGCACTGCCTTCAAAAACCTTTCTGTGTGTGTTGGGACTGACTGTTGATGAGGGAATAGTAGGGCTAAATACACAGGATATGAAAACAAAAATAACAGTGGTGGTTATTTTCTTGCTTGTTATTCTATGCGCAGGTATTAAACACAATTTTATGTCAAACTACAGCTGGTGTTAGCCAGTAAGAGAATATGGATTTACAGCAACTAATACTCCAATACTCTACACGGAACAAGAGTCCAAATTAACAGTGACTACAAGTCCTTACTCTGCCATTTTACTTGGTAGTAAGGATATCTTCAAATCTTTTCCTTCAGTCAAGCTAGAAAACACGGCTCTTCCTTTTCAAACTGCGTGTCCAAAGTAAAGCAAGTTGTATTGACTCACTCTGTCTATCACACTAGAAGCTATGGATTCTTCTGTTTCACATCTATGCCGGCTATCTTTAAAAAAAGGCTTCTGCGAATGTCACAAATTGCCAAGACACCCAAATCATTTAGCTCTTTTAAAATTTTACACATAAGTTTTCTTAGACAAGGACAGTAAATGCAATCTAATAAAAAAAACCCAAAACCAAACAACAGAATTAAACGTCTGGTTGTGATGAAGAATCCTTGTGGACATTCGTTTCCCTACATTATGATCTATGGGAACACAGACTGAAGTTAAGTCTAATTTCTAAAAAAAACCCAAGCCCCAAATTCTCAAACTTTAAACTGAAAGTATGAGTGCGTAGTCACGTACAACCAATTCCAAGAATCACCATTTTGCAAAGTCTGGGAACCACTGCTGTAATGCATGACAGCTACTTATAACTATCAAATTAGCAACCATGTAAAGCAATAAGTTATGCAGTCCACAAGAAATAAATATTTGAAAAATGTTTGATAAAAAAGCAAACTGTATAGGCTACTGTTAATAGCCTTTTAATCCCCAGAGAAAAAAAGCTTATGCACTTACATTTCATCATCATATTCCTTTGGAGGTGATGCTGCAATGACTAAGTCAATCCAATCCTGAAAAAGAAATGCACAGGGAAACACATACTGCTTTTAGAGGTGGCTAGTGGACCACTATGGAATATCAGATAAAGAGTCAGCACAGTAACCTATTCCTGAAAAACCACAAGGAGAAGCAGAAGAGGAAGACCATTTAAGATTGAGCTGTTTGATTTCTATCTTGAAATTAAAGAAAAATCTACTGTTCTTGCAACAAGATTAAAAAAACATATTCTAAGAATTATCCCATATTTGGTCATCTGAGCAATTAATACAGTTCTTGCTGAGAAAAAACTCACTGTAGCTGAAGCACAGTGTTACTTGTACATCGAGAAATCAAAGATAAGCTACTATTAGAAAATTTGAATCAGCTTGCAAGTAATTTTCAATATCAAAGAATGATTCTACAGATAAATGTAATATAACCACTCAGAATGTAATGTGTTTAAATACCAATCTTGATATGTGGCTAAATGGCATGGAATTTCACAGTAAATTACATGCCTGGTTTTCAGAGATGCTACACACCAGTGTATCATCTGGAGATTTCATCTCACTTTGGTAGTACATGACACACCTGCTAGTTTTGATGCTTGCAACCTTATTTGTGTTGATGTGACAATGTCATAATAGAAGGGTATCTTTCATGAGCATTAGAGGTAAAACGAGGGAGTATTCCAGGTTACTTACCCCACCCATGTTCCAAGCTTTCGCTAGAGTTGCCTGTGCTTCTGCCAGCTTGCTGTCAATTAATATCTTGCCATTTACAGCTAGTATTTCATCCCCTTTCACTATGCCTCCTGGTGAAAAGACCAATATGAAAAACATACACATAAGCAAAAAAATTTCTGTGTCTTTTCTGCGCCATATTTAGGCAGTAATGAGTATAACAAAAAGTGTTTTCACTAGATGTGAAGGTCTACACCAAAAATTAAAGAAAGTTTGCTACAGGCAAAAGCAAACGGAATTTTTAAGCATGACAAAGCCAAACTAATCTCTTATTGATAATGACCAGCAAGAAACTAGTTCAATAAGATTATTCCCTGTGGCAGTTTGCCTGTTTGGGTAATCCAGCTATACAACTTACAAACTATGACAGACTGTAGGCTGTTACTACTATGCCCCATCCCTGGAAGGGTTCAAGGCCAGGCTGGATGGGCTTTTTGAGCAACCTGGTCTAGCAAAAGGTGTCCCTCTCCCTGGCAGAGGGCTTGGAACTAGATCCCTTTAGGATCCCTTCCAACCCAGGCCATTCTATGATCCTATCAAAATAGCTCAATTAATTAAATTACTGAAGGAATGAAGTGGCATTTGTCAAGTGTCTGCAAGTTTGTTAATCCTTTCCAAGTGTATGTGTAATGTTTAGTCCTTTGAACTGGTTTTGATTTGCTAAGCTGGAATGAAGCACAATCAGCTAACTGGGACTGGATTTGAAGTGGAAAAAACACAGATGACCAGGGAACAGCCTTATATGAGACACCCTAAAAAGGGATATGAAGGGACAAAGCCAAACAAAGCCAAACAGAGTACTTAGGAGATCAAGTGGCTGAGATGTTTTCACAAATAAGTGACTCAAACTTAGTTTCAGGCTGGGACAAGGTCAGCAGTGCAAGGGGATATTGTCCTGTCTGTCTACCTGGTCATCACAAGAGTTCTCAGGGAAAGGATGAGAGATACTTCCAACCAGGAGTAAAGCCTAGTTGCATTGGTGCACATGTTCTTGAGCCTTCCAGAGAGCTAAACTGTTAGCCAGAAGACTCTGGCCTTTAGCGAGGTTTTGGGACTAAAGCCAGTTGTTTTACAAGACAAATTACTAGTGAAAGTAGCATTAAGAACAAAACTAAACAGTATAGAGTAGCCATGGTCAGGTAATTACTTTGCACATGAAAGTACTGCATATGTCATTGCTTGGAAATGGTGAAATAATGGAGACCATATTCCTTGCTTAACAGAGTACACCAGAGAATCAGGTGTTGGTTTTTATAAATTTTACATAATTATTAATTTGTGTGGCGCTCTTGAAACCATGAACTTGTCTCTGGGGTGCCCTGTGGGCTGACACAGAACTTGGCTCCTTGGACAATCTCAGTGTGCCTTTCAATACTAGGCATAGCTTTGAAATCAGCCAGCAACTCTCAGGCAGTGTAAGGAGCCACTTTGCTGCAGCATTCAAATTCCCCATTGTTGCTCACCGTGTTTGTCTGCAGCACCATCTTCATATATGGCAGACACAACTATCTTTCCAACTGGAGAATCAATTCCTCCCTCAACTGCAAGGTCTAATGATCCTTCCTATGAAAAAACAGTTTTAGTTCAGGCTGTCAACTTTTGCCATTAACAGGAGCTTAATCTTTCCTTCTTCCCAGTAAATGATACTGCACATCAAACGCTTACATGAACCCTTTAAATATCAATCAAACAACACAGTATTTACCTTTTTAATTCGTAATAGCCGTACATCTTTTCCCATAATCTGTTCTGGGGTGAACTACGAAAAGATATAATCATTAGTCATTTCCACTTCGGAAACACCAAACAATTATGCTGATATATGTAATTTCTGGCAGAAAAGTGACCTTTCCCTCCTCTAAAATAGTGTTAGAGGAAGCTCAGAACACTAGATCATCTTTTCGTATGTTGAACACTCCTTTTCAACATGACTAGAACAGACAAATACACAAGGTCCAGCAAACCAACAAGCAAGAATCTTATCCTCTCCCAGCCCTCAAAATCGAGGATTTGTTTTTTTTCCAGTGTATTTCATATTAGACAGTGAAGTATATTTAAATTCTCTCCTTACCATTGAATATGGATCAAAATCTTCCACGTACTTCTGGAAGCCCTGAGAATAAAACAATATTTAATTGTAAAAACATCTGACTCATGCACACACTTAACACACGAACTCCATTTATTTATTAGTGAGAGAACATATAATTCTGTAAGCTATGAAAGAAGACAGTAAATGGAGAAAAGCACAGAAAGACAGCAAAGAGTCCATCCTGACAGTCAGAAGACATTTCAAAACCTTATGACAGATTAACAGTTTGAGCTGGTCAAACTACGGAGCAGTTCTGAGGAAGAGTTTACCACTCTGTCAGCTCCACAGTTCCTCTCTACACCTAACAAACAGAAACAAATCTTGAAAGCATCATGGGTAGGTATGTTCTGTCAGTCTTCTGAGCAACATTTCTTAGGATTATCACCATGTTGGATGCTAACAGGTAGAAATTACAGGCTCCAATTTTGCTGTCAGCAACACTACTCCATGTTGTCTGGGTTTTAGGACTCTTTTTCAGACCCTTTCTCTCCCCCTTGCCATGGAGTTTCAGGGATTTGGCTCCATACCACAAGAATATGCAGGACATCCACCATTTTTTGTTTTCATATGGTTCTATGGATGATTTAAGTTTTGTCAAGGAGTGTCTGAAATGCAGAAGATAATACTGCAGTTAGGCAGAGAAAGATTTAAGCTTTGAGAGGACGCAAAAAACCTAGTGCTTAACCCTTGTCAGACCAAGACTGCAGGGAAAAGCAGGAGTTATCTCTTCTGCAAGGATGGGATTACCTGCATCAGCAATCAGGAATCAATGGTATTTGAGTGGTGTTTTTTTGAGGAGGTCTAGTAGCTACTGGGTGATACTGTATGGACAGGGCTGGACATTTATAAAAACTCTGCACCTATCCTGTATGTTAAAGTAAGAACTTCAGAATTTAACAGAAATCTTTACTGAGGCACCCAGATGCTGTATCACTCTTGTGGCCTCAAGCTGCAATAACCTGGGGGCAGGGCAACAACACAGAACCCCACAACCCTTCCTTGACATAGCAGGCAAGCCAATATCTGACACAGACGAGTGGTTCAGTGTGTGATCAAGCTTCATATTTTCATTATTGTCCTCTCTTCTACTGGATCCATTTGATGACACAGTCTATTCCCCTTTCAGACTCAGCTAAGCCTTTTTCAACTTGTAAATGAAATGCGCAGCTTAAGGTTCCTCTGGTATGTTTAAGTGCTGGCTGTTAAATGGCAAAGCTGCAGCAGAAAGCACTAATGCCTCATGTGCTATACTCTATCAGCTCTCTCAGTTGCCTCATTTTGATGTGACTGACAATGACCCTCTGGGATCTGACCTCATCCTTACCAGCACTGCCTCTCACAAAGTCAAGGAGCGCTACTACACAGGTCTGCATCACAGAACTTCAAATGTACAAAAGTGCTGCCACTTTGTCTCACCACACTTAAACAGACAACACAACAGAAGTGGTGATGAGTGTTGTGTGGACTGACAGTCATTCCACATAGGCACACCGAATCATACAGCGTGGACCCTGGCTTTCCTCAGGCTGCCTCTCTAACTCTGCACAACTGCAGAGCTTTTGCTTACTGCCACAAGTATTTTTTTTTTCCACAGGGAAATACGTATTAAAATAATCTTTTGGGAATAGGAACATGAAAGATGTTATTCAGCATTTAAATTATGGATTGCATTACATTTGTTAACTGCTAACTTTGAGGAACTAAAAACAAATGGGAATTTCATCACAGACATCAGCAAGGGGAGAACCTCATCCTGGGGGGAAAACCCCAACCATTCATTCATTTACAAAGTGTATTAATATTATGAACAGTTAAACTAAAATTGTAAGAGAAACATTTTACAATGATAGCTACCTAAAAAACTAATACTTTGAATAACTAAATTTGTATTGCCCTTTGGAATCATGGCTGAAGTAGACATCTATAGTTTTGTAGCAAGCAACTTAGAGAAAAGAACTCCAATCTCAGCCAAGTCACTAAGTCATTACGTAATCTAAAGGAGGTCAGTGAACTCTTTGTCCCAGGTCGGCCTCATGAAAAGCAGATGTTGCCCTTGAAAAAAGTTTTCCTGGGAAAACAATTTTTAATAAGGGAAAAAAACCCAAAAGCCAATCAAACACACAAAACCCCACAACAAAAAAACCTGCAAGCAAAGTCATAGAAACATAGAATATCCTGAGTTGGAAAGGGATCACAAGGGTCATCAAGTCCAACTCCTGGTCCTGCACAGGACAACTCCAAAAGTCACACCATGTGCCTGAGAGCATTGTCCAAACACATATTGAACTCAAGAGTCTTGGTGCCATGACCATTTCCCTGGGGAACATGTTCCAGTGCCCAGTCACCTTCTGAGTGAAGAGCCTTTTCCTAATATGAAATCTAAACGACCCTGACACAGTTTCGTGCTGTCCCTTTGGGTTCATATCACTATGTACCTGTATTTGTACCTTATAAATACAGGTAAGACAGAATGAAGACATTCAGTGAACTGTAATAAATCTTCCCTGAAATGTGCATCACAATTTCAGGGAGCGGAGAGTAGACTCAATATCCAAGCACGGACTAATGAACTAAGAAATATCGGGTGAAGTCAGAGTCCTAAGCCTACCCTCCCACTCCAGGACATTTCAGGTGAAAGAGTTAAGATCATTCTAATTCCTTCCTGACTTACGGTAAAATTTACAGGACTGAACATAAGTTGAATCCAGAACACTAAAATGTTTGATTGCACTGAAACAATTCTCTGTCTGGACTTGCAGATGAAAGGCAAAGTTATTATTTAAAAGAAAAATCAACTCCAAAAACCCAAAACAGAAGGACCTAAACCAATGGTACCGCTCACTGGTTTCCAGCATCAGTAGTCAAGAGCAATTGAGACCTGACTGAAATAAACAAAAGAACTGAAATTCATAACTGGATATAATAAAATTTTACAAAAAACACATTTGTTGAGAACACAACTGTTATATATTCAGAACATACTGACATTTAATGGAAACTGAATAATCTCAAAGTTGGATTTTTCTCAGTCAAATTCAGTTTTCCCTTCTTGATCTAGATTGAAACTGATCAAAAGGAGAAAAAAGTCATTATTAATCTTAATTGTTTACCACTCAAAAGCTCATGCTGTGAGCTCACTACTGTGTACCAACTTCTTCATATAACACTGCAATGCATCTAACTTAGCTTGCACTTACAAAGGTGGTCTGCACAGAAACTGGTACACTTTATAGCAGCAGAGAAGTTAAGCATGAAGTCCACTTCTTCAAGCAACCGTCTATTAAACCACCAGTCAAACAAAGAGGAAGAGATGAAAACTTCATCACTATGACAGAGGAAAGCAACAAAAGTAATAATACAGTGAGAAGATCCTACACAATACAGGAAGGCTGAATGAATAAGTGCTTTCCAGTTCTTCTGATTTCCTACCAATAACTATGTTATGATAATAGCTCTGTTTGTTAAACTAATAAAATATTTTGTTACCGAAAGCATTGCAACTGGCCACTAAGAGAAACATGGAAATCTTAGGAATATTAAAAACAAAAGCCAGTATAATATCAGTTATGAGTGTTCAACTATCTTACAGGTTGCATTTAACCATATAAGTAGTTACAGAGAAAGGAATTACTATCCTGTCATTCCTCATCTGCCTAGACTAGAAGGAGCCACAGGCACACACAAAGCTTACAAAGACTAGCAGTTCTCATGCACTAGGGCTGTCTTGCATCTTCTGTTTTAGAAACTGAGCAAAAGGATTAGAAAAGAAAGTTTTAAATCTATGATCAGTCAAAACAAGAAGTACCACACAAAACATGGAAAATGTTATTTTACTTGTTTTTTGTTAGATCTAAATGATGAATTGTAAACCACCATCCTTTTAAACATCTCTTGTGGCTGCAAAAGAAAGAAAATTGCCAAACCAGATATTAACTTCTTGCTGTAAGTAAGTATCACCTACTCATAAATTATCTCACTACTTATTTTGCTCTTCTAGGGACTGAACCACACTTGCATTTGTTAGTGACTGTTCCCTGTATCATTTCAAAATGAGAGTACACAGACAGTGAAACAGTACTGCATACACAGTAGAAAGAACTCTAGAGAAACTACATAAATAATGCACATTTCCATACCACAAGAGTCCTTAAAAATATTTTCCATGACTCCTTTTACACCTCATTTCTACAAAACAGTGCTTGGATCCCTTATCCATAATTCATGAAAAAATAATTGGAAAAAACCCCAACCCAAAATACAAACTGCTAGGCAAGTAATTTCCAAAATATTGAAAAGCCATGATAAATACATGTTTATGCATTTAAGATTTGCTCTGCTACCATGGATTTCCTATACTGAAAAAGTGAATTCCATTATTAAATTCCTTATGAATCTGATAAGCCGAAAGAAGAGATATGTGTATTTGGGCTCATCCTGAAAGAAAGAATTACCTAAATACCAATGGCTAGTACAGGTTTATTCTTCTTAAGGAAAAACTCCTCCAGAATTTAATGAACTTATTTCTATTTTCTTGCTTCAATTAGAGTATCTATGAGTCGTTTCACTATATCAATTAATAACTGATGGATTTTATTTTATTGTGTTTGGCTTCAAGGATTTTAATCCCATATTCATTCTGTTTTTCTTTCAATTCCACTACTCTAACAAAATGGTACACTGCAGTTTGGAGTCACTTAAAATAAAGAACTTCTTATTAGGTTCTAAATATTTTCAAAAAGGAAGTGGGCTAAAACACCAAATAATTATACAAAACGCTCCTCACACCTCTCCAGCCTCCATTCAAAATCCTGCAGCAAATTAGGTAACATATTTAAGTGTTCTGAAACAAGAACAGCTTTCTACACAGACTAAACTATGGCATTTATACTTCCAAACTCAACTTGCTTTTAAAAAAATTACTATATATCAGTTTCACTACTGATTCTATCAGTGTCCTGTAGTCACACCATTACTTGGAAAAATATATTGCAGAGTTAATGAAAATTCTGTGGTTTGCATTCGATCAATACAAAGACTGAGCTTTTGTCTTGAAGGATTTGTAGGCAAGTTTGGAAAGATTTTCTCTTTAGACCCCCTCTAAAAAAAAAAAATTCATTTTCAACACAGATTGTTTTGGTATAGCTATAGCAAATAATAACTGGAATTTCCAATCCTCACACGTCTTGCCACTCAGTATCTAAGCACCTGTGTTGCCTGCAGTCCTGCAAAATCAGGCTTCAAATCTTGCAAATTAGAGGAAAGCTTAAATATTACCTTTTTTCCTTTCAAAAATGCTGCATCCAACCCCAAAGGAGCAAGGGAAGAAAAATCTTTGGTAGCAGCAGGTGCATCGAAGCCTTCTAACTCACACAACAGGACGTTTGTGATAGATGGGAGAGCAGAGACTGATGTTCATGTTGGCTTTGCTTCTCTGAAAACCCCACCACTAAATCACAACAATTCTCTCCTATTCTCTGAGTCAAAATTTAATTAGCTCTGCCATGAGTGTATTCCAATTCACTTTAGTACAACAGAGATAAGCAGCTCACACTGATTTTGACCTAGAGCAGCCCTCAGCATTCAAGGCCATGTGCAAGGTTTAATCACCTCTAATAATTTTCCTATTTATGAGAACAATTTCATTTTCATCAACTGTTAAAAGATCCGGGAATTCTGATCTAAATTTAGTTTATAAGATGACTTAAGTCACAACATTTGGCCCCCCTGCCTTCTAGATAACAGGAATATTTTACCCATTCTTGCATGTCTATTTTATTCTAAAGTGAATGCTTTTTCATCCTCTTTACTAGTAACTTTCTTGAGTGCAGGCCAACTTGATTAGCTGCTCGAATCAGGATGAGTTTCTAGAATTTGGTACTCAGGACAGTTAAACTCAGGTAAAAACGAAGTAGAAGAAATTATATGAATTACATCTTAATATGACATAACAGCTGCAGTTCCATAAGCTGTGTGAAATCTAGCAAGACAAGAAACACGGTAGCAAATGATATTTGTATTTGGTGATACTTTCCTTTGCTAAGAGAAGCTGAACTGGTCCTGTATCTGCACCATGAAACTAAATAAGGACACCCCCCCTATTCCCAACCAACCAAAATCCACTCCTTCTGCATGAAACCTAATTATAATTCTTATAAATTTCTGGAAACAGGCAGGTACTGTCTTGTTTGTTTTCTCATACACCAGTGTTTTCTTTTTTTAACTAATAGAAGTAGCTTCCTTCTTTGGTATTTGTGCAAATTTTACTTCACAGACAACTGTGACTTCCTTGCAGTGAGATACTCTTCACTGCAGTAAGTCACAAATGGAAATAAGAGGTATCAAATCTACAAAACCAATTTACAGACTGCTCTTTCTCTCAAAGTCCTATTAGAATATTACTCCCACTGAAATTTGGATCTTCCAACTGATATAAGGCAGTTTGGGAATGAAGCTGATTGGTATCTGAAAGATTTTAGCAGACTTGTGATTTGGAAAATGTGCACACATGCATAACAAATCATAAGGCATTTCCCTGTAGAAGTGGATCTTATTGCCAGTTTCTTAAACTAATTGTAAGCAGTCATTAACAAAAGAATAATTTAAAAAAGTGCCCTTCAGAATTGGTACCACGACTGTTTGGTCACATATAAGGGTATTATCAATTCTGCAAACTAGTTCACATATGCACACTTTTTCAAGAGTTAGATTATATTAACTGTAGATTATGACTTGACTCTGTTCATTCCTCCCCTGAGGAATTTCATACTGCTTAGAAATGCTGAATTACTGAACACAAACAAAATGAGAGCTTCAACTGAAGGAAACATTACACTGGAGGGATCTGAATTTATTTTTAGCTCATATACCTGCCTTCTCTTAAGCAACTTATAAAAACTGCTTTCATTTATCATTCAATCCATTTATAATATAGAAGTTTCAAGATGGCTGTGGCTGTGGGAAAACAAGTTACTATATATCACTTAAATTTGTTCAAAGTGTAACTGGTAAAATAAAGGAACAAGAGTATCTAAATTATTAAAGCAATAAATGACAAAAAAAATCCATTGTGCTTTAATGAAACATCTGGGAATATTGTGCACATTATTTATTGTCAGAAATAGCAGAAGCTTCTAATTAAATAAATGAAATGCATATATGATGTTTTCCCATCACTTACTGTTTTGCTTATATAAATGTATATATACAGGCATGTCCACACACATGCATGTAACAGACACAGAATTCCTTATGCAAACAGCATAAGTCATGATGAACATCAAGAATAAATACTACTAATTGGTCCACCAGGTATTTCAGGTAAATTTTAAGGGGCTGTCACTTGGGAGTTATCACCTGTCAGAGCAGTATTTATCTTTTTTTTTGTTCCGTAAGCCTTGGCTCACCCTCCCTCATATACTACAATTCCCAGAAGATGAAACATGGTTGGTTCTAAAATGTTTAACCTCTGAATTTTTTTTTGCATTTACACTTGAAACAGAAAAGGAAATGAAAGAAGAAAAAGAATCTGATTGTGAGTCAACTTTGCAGTAACACTGCATGACCAGTATAATGGAGTCTGATATAACAACACACTTTTTTATCTGGAACTGAAAAGATATATATGGATTTTATATATATATATATATATATTATGATAAATGACATAATGAGGTATAGACCTACATTTCAATTGTGTTCATGACTATTTACAGAGGAAGAATACAGTTTAATTAAGTTTTATTATTTCATTTCTGACAAATGGATTCAGAACGTATAAAAAACCAAAACCAAGCATGTGAATAAATGAAAAATAAGACATAAAAATTCTAAGGCTATACACTGCTCTGGAATTATACAACCTTGTACAAAACTGTCACTAAAAGTGGCTTTTAGGTAATGGGAAAAATACAGAAAAATACTCTCCTGTACTTACCATTACTGATCACTTGAAAATACATGAATTTTAGTTAGCAGGAAATGAGACAAACATTGACTCTTTGAGGACGTGTCAAAAACAACCCCCCAAAGTACTGGAGCACTCAGAAGAAAAATATCAAAGGGCTTACCAGGGCCTCTGATTTGATTGTTGGCCTGACCATAAAGTTTGGGTCAGGATGCAGCATAACTGGTTTAGAGACTATTGGTACCCCTGGGTGACGTTGGGTAGGTGGACTTGGAGCAAGTTGCTATGGAGTTAATTTAAGAAAATTACAATTCACAACATAATTTGTGCAAATCCATCATTTTATCAAGACACCTCAATTCAAACAGCTTATCATAATGAATTTAGCAACACTAACACAATAAAAAGATTACAGAATTATTTTAACTAAGGCTTACAAAGTCAACAAACCAAAATACAATTTCTCTTGCATCCAAACAGTAGCTTTGCCCCTAAATTCTGGCTTAACCAGCAAGATTATGGAAAAGTCTCAGCCCTGCTCTTGGTATTTTTCCTATAAAGACAACAAACTGAGTGAGAAGCTACAGGAAAAAAAAAAAAACCTGCTGAAGTTCAGTGCAAGAACACAGTGAACCCAAAATAAGATTTTCACTAATCCATGGCTAAATAGATTTTTTAAGATACAAATCTCCAGGGCTGCAGCAAATGGCTTTCCATAAAGAATTTTAAGTTAACATCTTGATTTAATGGCAAGGGTTAGTTACACTAATTACCTGCCCCTGACTCCAGGAAGTACAGATACCAGAGGCATCTGAGACCTAATCATTCCGCACGTACTACCCGATCCTACACTTCTCACTCAGCCAAGACTCCCACTGACGTCAAGCAGAGTTTTATTCAAGAAAAGAGTTCAAAACTGAGCCCTGTGGGTTCAGTTTCTGACTTAACCCCAGCAACTCTTAACACACTTTTCTCAATGTTTCTCATAGGAAATGTGATGTGTTCCAGATATCACTCATATAGTACAAGCTGTATCCTTCTGAAATTATTTACTTGCTTCCAGCAAATTGGTTAACCACTTTTTTTTTTTTTAAGGGAGGAATTTTTTTTTTTGTGGTGGTTTTTTTCCCCTGTATCCTTTTCGAAATAATTTTAAAAAAAGTTTGGAACCAGATATTTGAAAGTCCCTGTGGATATCCCTTAACTAATGTTGTTAAACACTGCAAAATATATTGTGTTGTTAGGCTTTCTGATCTTAGAAAATTGACAGGTTCACAGATACCAATTTGTTAAAGCTGCACTGGAACTGGATGATTTCTCCCCGAGCCACGTAATTTAGCAACAGATTTTTCTAGAGTGCAGAATGGGGAAACCTGACATCTGGCCATCCTGACTCAAAACCAGTGCAAAGAGCTATCAAACAAATGTTGCTCCCTCTGAGATGAAACTTGCTTCTTAGGACACATTATATTTAAAATATAGATTCGTCCTAGATTCTTTTGCCTTGACAGAGGAACAAAGTACATGCTCCATGACATACAGACATTTAGAACATGCAAGCATGGACTGTATATTGCTCAGTTGTTGAAACATGAAATCCTTGGACCATTAGGAGTCACTTCCACTACTTGGTATTGGATAGCTTCCAACACAGCAATGGAACCACGCACGTAATTCCATGTGCTGAATTTTAAATAAATTAGCCATGCAGAGAGAAACCCCTTGACACTTGCTTGACATTAGCATTACATGGGAAGTTCATAAAACCACAGTCATTATTAACAGCACGTGACATACCAGTGGATTGCTTGACACAGAAGATACTTTGCCGACGTGGGAGGTGTTTCTTACAACCTAAACAGTAACAGACTTAATATTGGGTTCATATAAAGTGTAAAGCTAATAATAATTTTGAGAAACAGACCATTTATACTCGATATGTTAATAGTCAGTTGTCAAGAAAGTATTTGACAAGATTTTACTCCTTTTGTCAGGTATTTGTTCGAGCTGAACTGGAAATTAAATGATTTGGGGAAAAAACAAGAACGTACTAACACAGAGATTTACCAGTTTGTATAATATTAGGAAAGTGAACTTATGGGACAACTGCAGCTGTCTTATTTTTTGGCTTTAGCAGGCACAAACACAAGATCTTTAATCCATGAAGTCACACAAATGCACTGCTTCTGCTTATCCGTGATTTTAAAAAGTGGCTTTGTAAAAAGTACCAAGGATAAATTGTCAGGCTTCTAATTTTTCTTCCATTTCTGAAGCCAAATCGGGAATACTAAGTTATCTACTTAAAAACAAAGCAGCTTTGGATCAGTATTAATATTTTACTAAGAGCCTAGATATTTCCTCATATACAGTAATTATATTCAGGGAAAACTGACATTAATTTTGAAGGTAGGTTATTGGTTGTTACCTAATCTATTTTTCTTAATTATTAACTTCTTTTCTGTAACATATCTCACAGGGAAAAACTGCCAGAAGCACATATTGGAATATATTGGTTTGGGGTCAGATCCAGTATGGCAGTTCTTACGTTGCTTCTTCTGTCTGAATATTTTCTTTTAGCTTTAGAAGAGTGTATTTCTCCTCTCAATGTATTATTTTGTACATCTGTTTCCTTTCACATAATTTTTATTTTGCAAATAACTTGGGAAACTTGTTATCCATAAGAACATTTGATATTTCTGTTTCAGTGGATCTAGCATCTTGGCACTTCAAACATATAAAACCACTCAGATTGAGCACTATCAGAGGTCCACTTAAGCTTACAAGAGATTCATGGTTTACATAAAAAATAATCTATTGGTTTCCTCCAAACAGTGATTAACTCGCATATCCTTCCCCACCCCAACCAGAATCATGCAAATATTATTTAGTAAACATGCAAAAAACCCAAAAACAGTCAGTCAATCCATGCAAAAACTGTGTAGCAAAGAAGTGTCTGTATGGGATCCTCTTCTGCTCTTTGAAATAAATAAGAATCTTTTGCCACAAAAACAAGTATATGAATCTCACTACAGAGCTTAGCAAAGGGAATCATGATGAGATCTGGCACAAGATTTCATATACTGATCCTCTTTTGAACTCAGATTGCAATAAAGTAACAGGATTTCTCAAAGAAATCCCTAACTCCTGTGTGTTCAACAAGTCAAACCAGATTACCAACTCTTGTTTCTTTATTTTACTGGTAATTGATACTGTTTTGACCTTTTAGAAGTTTGACTTTCTGATTTTAAGCCAATTTTCCTTGTCCACTCTTCTCACCTAACAAAGCAATTTGATGACATTTTTAAAACATCTTCATTAGTAATTTTCACTGCATGGATATTTTTCTCAAATTTAACAATGAATTAAATCCATTGCCTGCCACTGTTTTGTTTGGTTTTGTTTTTTTTCAAATCTTTAAACATTCAAGGCCAAATTGTCTTTTTTTAACCTATATATTCTGCCTAAAGACATCTGCACGTGATAGGGTTACAGTGCACGGAGGCAGGAGAGCAAAGTCCTCTTGACTTAAATTTAAACAATGTTAAAATAAAGCTACCTCTGGACTGCATTCACTACTAAAAAACTATGAAACCATCTCATTCTCTCTTGCAGCATTGCATATGGCAGATGGGTAGATCTAGTGGACAAGGTGGGTGATGGATCAGGGGCGGGAGGCACGCAGGGGAATGGTAAGGGCGCATGCATCCAAACAGATCATGAGGTCACCTGGGAAGCTGGTGTTACCGACAGGGCTGGACCTCTGGAAAGTGGGACGTTTGAGGGAGGAAGTGGATGAGGTGGTGGTGCTGGAGTGACTGTGGGTGGCGGTGGTGGAGGTGGTGGTGCGCGTTGTTTAGGCTTGTCAACTTCATCTAAGTTTATATCATCAAGATCTGTGGTGTGAAGCTGCAGGCCACCGGCAAAACGCCGCATTGATGTGGCAGAAGGCGAAGCAGAAGGACGTCCACTTGCCAGCTATGTGCAACAGAAGAGAAACCTGCCTTAGCAGTTCTGCCTGCAACAGCTCTGAAGAAATTAGTGACCAGTCCTAGAACACCACTCAGTCTAACTGCTCCTGCACAGGAAGCTCTTGGCTTCTCCCACACAGAATATACACAAACGTTTTCTCTGAAAGGCTTTTTAAAAAGCACTCTTTGGGATTCTAGTTTGAACAGAAGAAAATGACAGTAGCCTTGGCTGCTTCGGTAGGGGGGACAACAAAAGAAACCCCACAAAACCCCAATAATATGAAGTCTTCAGAAGGTAAAATCACAGGACAAATCACAGATAACGCAACTCTTCTCTCTCTAGCTCTCATGAAGTGAAAGCAAGAATTACTGCTTGCAATGGTTATTATCTGAAAAGAAAGTAATCAAACACAGGCCCTGAAATTCTATGTCATTAAAAAAGGGAAAGGGGTTAATGTCATGTAAACATAACCACACATTAATACGAGAAAGGAAACTACGCTTAAGCAGCTATCAAAACAAAATTTTAGTGTGCTATGAAATTCAGATCCTCAAGGGGGTTGAGATCTTATAATTTATAATATCTTATAAATATTTTATCTCTTATAATATATGGATAATTATTCCATACCAGATCTATTGTGGGGCTAACAAACTCCAGAGTTTGAACATAATAAGCAGCTCACTCCCAAAAATAAGGCTGTGTGTGTGTGGAGGAGGATTCTACGTATGTTGTTAGAGTTGCTAAGATTTCTTTTATCAGTTATCAAACTGAAGTATTTAAGAAAATTCAGTCCATACTTCTTCATTTTGCTACTGTGTAGTCTCAGCTGAGAAAATATTACATAGATGAACTGTCTGACAGACACATTCTTCTTAGTCTAATACAACAACACTTCTCTCAAGTGGGTATTGCTATTAACATTTTTTGGATCTCCTTATCTAACATAACCCCTGGTACTGAAAAATAGGTATTCCTTTGGCAGAGGTCAAGAGATCTTGACTGCTCTCGCACCAAAGAAGCAGTTCATGCCTGTAGTACCTAAATATTGTTCAGATGCATTTATCCCTCGGAAGCACTCAGGTTTTGTATTTTATGTGAGTTTAACTGCTTGGGTAGTTTTGAAGAAAAATTGTAATAGATCCGTTATACATAATGTAATAGAAGAATTGATGGAGCAAATACAACACAGAATGCTTGTCTTAAATCTGGGTAGAGCTCTGAAAATACAACAGTGTTTGTAATCCGTAATGTTCCTTCTTACTTTACAAGGTAAGGGGGACAAAATTCTAGCAGAACACATGCAGCCAAGTTTACGTACTAAGAGAACACTCAGCATAATCATTCCAGTGTCCTAAAGGCCTGCACTGAAAAGCCACATGGATCTGAGCCTAAGGCCATGAAGAACAGAAGATCAGATGCTTTTTTCAGAGCTGCTCTGCATTGACCTGAAGGAAATTCATGCGAGAGTGTTCCCCAAGGGTCCCTTTTGTGGTTACGATTTCTTGGGGATCCCACAGGAGTTCAGCAGATTGCAGTGTTCCTGTTGAAACCAGATGTACTTGGAAAACAGCCAGAGTAGCAGGATGGTGGGAAAGCCTCTCTCCACATATAGAACTATCAGGCTCTAAGGCACAATCACTATCTGCAACTCCCCTAATTTAAGGGGACTATTTAAAGCACAAACCCAAACCCTAGTCTTTGGGAGCTTCTCATCTTTTTGTCATTTTCTTAACCTGTACCTTTATGTCACGTAATACAAGGAAGCATCCAAGAGCTCATCATCAATGATGTTCTTATTTTCATAACATACTAATAAATATAGCTGGGTATTCTAGTCTCAGTTTTGTTATTGGTAGCATGTCCCACCTAGCCCAAACATCTCACGAGTCAATAAAACTTAATTTTGTGGTGATATTATACTTAAAGACAAAATAAAAGCAGTTCATTAAAATAATGTTTGAATCTTCATAAAATATAGAAACAGAAAGTGGTATAGATGGTAGTTCATCAATTACTGACTTTTTTTCCCCCTCTTAGAGTGAAGGCTGAGGGGGAAAGATAAAGACAGATTTTTTGCTGGTAAAAACCTGTTGCTTTTAGAATACAGCTAGTGAGTTATTTAGAGAGCATGCAATATATGGAAAAGCCAGAATTTTACCTCAGGAGACTCATTCTCCACAGAGGAAATCTGTTCTAACCGTGTTTGACAAAGTCTTTCCACCCAGTGCTGCACCTTTTCCGATTCTTCCAGGTCCTCTCTTTCTGTCTCAGATACCTTAACCATAACAGTGGTGCGTGAGAAAAGGTTATAGGTATGGTCACAATACAAATAGGTTTCACAAGCATGAAATGCCATTTAAACTAGTTTTAAGAACAATAATGCTTTTGAGGATGATTCCCTATTTTACTGTGTTTCATTAAATTCATCACTACACGTGGACACTCATTAACTGCAGAGCTATTCTTGTTTGGGCAATACCTGACTAGAAACAAGCAAATGTGGGAATAGAGTTTTGCAGTGAAACTAAAACTTCATGGCCTTTGACATAATTAAGCAAGTGCTAAGATAATTTCACTACAGATCCAGCTCATTTTTTTTCAATATAATTTTACCCTTGATAGATCACAACATACCTCTTGCACAAGACGATTTATTTTCAGTTGTTTTTCTTTCTCCAACATTCCTTCTTTCTCTTTGGCGAGTTTTTGCTCAAACTCCATTTCCTTTTTATTCTTCTTCTGTTCACAAAAGCTATCACTTTTTGACTTCTTTCGTTCTTTCCCTTTCTGGGAAGTTTTTTTACAAAAATCGTTTACTAAAACCACCACAAACTTCATGCTTGGTACATGAGTGCCTGCCTTGAAAATTTAATTACAGTCGATGCAAGCATGGGGATGGTCTTTTAAAAGAAAATCTACAGTCCATTTACCTAGCAACTTGCAGGAAATTAAACTTTTTATTGGAGGGCCGGCCTCTGCCCATTAACATAAGTTGGATGAGATCAGACAATTCAACTTTTTTTCTCCTCTGCAAGTTACAACTTTAGGGCACACAGGTCAACCACAAAACTTTGAATAAATCAAACAGTTTTGGTTGGGTCTTGATTTGCAATCTCTGTTTTGGCACTTTTATATATTATATATATATATATGTAAATGACTAATTGTTTTCAGGTGACAGATGCTCATGTATAGGTAGATAGTCTATGCATAAAACAGGTTCATGCGTATGTCCTCAAATCAGCACTGCATCCCTTAATAAAACTGAAACAAAGCATTATAAAGGAAAGGCTTAGATCAGTTCAGAAACTGAATTGCTTCCAAGGAAGAATACTGCATCACAAAGACCATGTAGCTCCTACAAGCACTGGATAAAATCTACCCAGATGAGTTAACTAATATAGCACAAAGCAACTCCAAAATTCTAGATGTAGGGTGCAACCAAAGGGAAAAGGTGTTTAGTCTTTTTGAAGTCTCTGTTCCTGTCGATATTATTCACTAAAAAATTAGAAAATACATTTAGTACCATCTACTAAATGGAACATCAGGCAGATCAACCTGCTAGGTACCAATGTTTGAAAAATTACTGAACTCAAAGGCACACTAAGCAGTACACATGCCAAAGTCTTCCAGAAGATGAACATATATCAGACAATCTTAGCTGTCTTCACTGCATTCAGATACAGCAGGATGATTCATCCTTTCCACCAATTTTCCCCATGGATTCAGTTTACTTCCTATTATAGATATTTTTAGTACAGAGTGAAATTTTGGTTTTAAAACAAAACAAAAAATCATTAGCAATTTGGAGTAGGATGAAAATTCATCACTGCCAGATTTAAAAATATTTCTAAAAGCAAAATATTAAAAATACATCTTCTGAAGTTTCTAGTGCACACTGTGTGTCAGAGTTCAACAGTAATTGTGTAAGATCTTCATTACTATATGAAAAGGAATTTTGTACGTTCTGTAAACTATATTTGCAGCAACAATACTCTGTGCTAAGAGACTGAGTTTTCATAACATGCATCTAGAATTTTCAGATAGAAATCCTGACTGCACTGGCTTTCACACAGGTTACAGATCCATGGTGATTTACAGTTGCTAGCAATACAAAATGGCATTGGAGTGTACCATCTTTTCCTATTCTTTATTAAGGAGAACAAGCATATCCTGGCAGCATAAAAGGTTAAAGTAATAGTCCTGAGTGGTGACACAAGTACTTCATTTGTCAGAAACAATCTTGACCTCCTCAGAAACCTTGATTTCTCAGAAGACAGGCACAAGAAATCTTCATTTCAATTCTAGCACAGTTAATTACCAAAAGAACCCACACCAAAGCACACAGCATCATAGCAAACCCCCATAACATGGCTAAGACACATTGAAAGAAATAAAGAGAATAAAACAACAGCAAGAACAAATTTGAAACTCTGATAAAGTGAAATTGCAATACTTCAGCAGCATCTCTAGAGACAGAAAAATTTTCTATCACCTTAAAGACTGCTGCAGTTTTTTTGCTCACTCTGTGAGATGCCCATGCCTAACACCCTTTTGCCTTCAGCACTTCTCCTACTGGGAAATTTGCAAAGGTGTAACTGGGAACTGAGTATTTCATTCCCACTTAATTTTTTTCTCTGTACTGTTTGGGGTTTTCATATACATGATTTCGAGGACTTTTGGAGAACACAAAGACATGCACTGCCTACCTGTAGTGAACACCTGCAAAGTATTGACATAGAATTCCCTCTGCAGCTGGTAGAACTCAAAAGTCCAAAGCACTCAAAAGGACAAACTCCTAGACACGTGCAATTCAAATGCATCTTAATTTGTGCACATGTTAAAAGAAGAAGCATTTGACTATAAAGAATGCTCAGTAATAACAGAGAAGAAGAAAAATGGGGAATTCAAATTCAAACACACAGCAAACACATTTACATATCACACTTGGTACCTTACGGATGGTGGGAAATTTTCCTTCATACCGATAAAACCACCCAAAAGCTAAAAAAGGTAAAGGAGAAGTTGTTTTTTTGAAGAAAAGCCAAGGACTGGTTCATATGCAGATCAATCCGTGCTGACACATGTAACATTAAAATTTATTTGAAGGCGAAACACCAAAGGATTGCTATTACATGACATGTTCTTAGTCAATTTGTTGTTAAATTGTGCCAGTACATTTAGTTATGTTTCCCTTATTTTAATGATACACATTTTATGTTAAACAAAGCAAATGCAACAAGTAAACTTCATACAGAACCACACAGGCAATGCACTGCTCAGATTTCCATGGTCACAGTCCTACTTTACAGTAGTTTTAATAAACCCTCTTAAAATGAAACAGGTATTCAAACTCCTTCAAGCCTGTGGCAGGACACTGGAGTTTGAGGAGACAAGAAAAAGTCCATTTCCTAGGACAAAATATTTCAAGCCAAGTGCATAAATAATACAAAACATACTGCTAATTAAAAACATACAAAATAATCTCTTACCATAATTTTATATATGAAACACTGATAACACACCGAGCTTGCAATATAAACCATGTTTCTGTAGGACTGTTAGATTTAATATCAAGGTATCTTTAGAAAGCAATGACAGCAGCAGCGTCAAAACCTTTAATGTTTTACCTAAGGAATTTTACCCTAGGAAAACCAAATGGTCAGTTCTGTGTCAAGACTGACTGTCAGGAGGAAGTGAGACACAGGAAGAATTTGAATCAGGATAGGATGTTAAGGCTGAGTGGCAAACCTGTTTGTCCTGCTTCATGATCACTTCATCCATGTCATCTGTTTCAAGCTGGTCATGTGCAACTCCCTCTAAATCTACTAGAGAAACAAAGGAGGAAAGGAGTGAGGAGACAGAAGTGACAGTCTAACTGGAAGTTCCCATGAAATGAAAAAGAGATCAGCAATGTGTGATTAGAAGTTTCCATGAAATAAAAAAAATAGTAGCTAGTAACAAGATATTTTTCTGCATAATTGAAGAGAGAGGAATCAAATCAATTTCCAATCTCCTCCAACTCTGAAAAGCAGTTAAAATCTGCATGTGGATCATTAGTCTGCTCTGTGATGAAGGTGGGTGCAGAGGTAGGCGGCTTTTCCTGTAACCAAACCATCAGCAGTTCTGGGCTATGTGCCTTCAAAAAGAAGTATCGGCCTTCTACTGCACTGTCACTGGGGCAAATGCTACACAGAGAAAATATTGTACTGAAGAGTCAGAAAACTAAATGGGTAGGAGATGGTTGCAGAAGAAACAATTCCCTATCTCAGTTTCTCTTTCATGAAAAGTTAAGTGACTTCGCCAAAGTCATACACAAAATAATATAATCACATTAGGAATAGGCCCAGTTCTCCTGTAAATTATGCAACGAGCACTTTGCAGTTGTTTTTTTTTTTACAATACAATTTTAGCACGCTCTCCACATACTCTTTGTACATTCCCATGTAACTTCTTAACTGTCAACTATGCTCTGCCTTAAATTCCTAAGACAAGTAAGTCAGACACACTTCAGGGTAACTCTTCATGGAAAACTGCAGTGTACAAACAGAACCTCCTCAGTCTCTCGACTAATTCTGAAGCAGAGTGCCCAGTGATATCAAATCCATTTTCAGGTTCACATGCTGGAGGAAAGGGATGCCATCCAGAGGGACTTGGACAGGCTTGAGAAGTGGGCCTGTGTGAACCTCATGAAGTTCAATAAGGCCAAGTGCAAGGTCCTGCATGTGGGTTGAGGCAATGCAAGCACAAATAAAGACTGGGAGGAGAAAGGACTGAGAGCATCCCTGAGAAGAACTCGGGGGTGCTGGTGGATGAGAAGCTCAATATGACCTGGCCAAGTGAGCTCGCAACCCAGGAAACCAATCCTATCCTATCCTGGGCTGCATCCAAAGCAGCGTGGCCAGCAGGTTGAGGGAAGTGATTCTCCCCCTCTACTCCACTCTTGTGAGACCCCATCTGGAGTGCTGCAACCAACTTTGGCGTCCCCAACATAAGAAGGATGTGAACCTGCTGGAGCAGGTCCAGGGCAGAGGCCACAAAGATGATCAGAGGACTGAAGCACATCTATGAGGAAAGGCTGAGAGGGCTGGGCTTGCTCAGCCTGGAGAAGGGAAGGCTCAGGGTAGACCTTAGAGCAGCCTTCTAGTACCTAAAAGGGGCTACCAGAAAGCTGAAAAGGGACTTTTTAACAGGGCATGTAGTGACAGGACAAGGGGGAATGGTTTTAAACTAGAAGAGGATAGGTTTAAATTAGATATTAAGAAGAAATTTTTTTACTGTGAGGGTGGTAAGACACTGGAACAGGTTGCCCAGAGAAGTTGTGGATACCCATCCCTGGAATGAATGTTCAAGGCCAGGTTGGACTGGTCTCTGAGCAACCTGGTGTAGTGGAAGGTGCCCCCATCCATGACAGGGGGGTTGGAACTGGATGACATTTAAGATCCCTTCTAACCCAAATTGTGAAAAGGTTGACAAGGAAAACATTGAACAGAAAAAACATGGAAAACAATGCACCAAAACCCCAAGCTAAAGAGGTTTATATTTCAAGACGATTTCTTCATAAGCTTTTTTTTTAATTTTTGCCTTATGCTGCTGATGGTTAACAACCATGACTATTAGAGTGGATGTAAATTTTGCAAGATAGGTACCTGTTAAATAAGAGTTGTTAAATTAATTTACTGTGTGTTTCCAGCCTTCTGAAAATAACCAAGTCACAGAATCCCAGAATATTCTGAGTTGGAAGGAACCCACAAGGATCACCAAGTCCAGCTCTTAAGTGAATGGCCTCTACAGAGATTGAACCCACAACCTTGGTGTTATTAGCACCACGCGCTAACCAACTTGGCTTGGACACAAACTGGTGATATATTCCATACAGCTCAGTGATATGTCTGAAACAAAGACAAGGAGGTAAGCTGAAATCGATTACTTACTTTTGTGTTTGGAACGTGGGACAGAATGCACTTCTGCAGTTACAGTTTTTAAAGACTTGGGTGGTTCTTTAGGACCCCAGTCTTCTTCCCACTCCTTTTTAAATTTCTCCTCCTCTGCTGTTATCCTAGAGGAAAAAAATGCAGCTAAGAATTCCAAGTATCAAAACAACAGAATCAATATATACAGTACAATTATTTGTGTTTAGTATGTTTAGTTTTTCTTTTAATATAAAGCATAATAAATTCTTCCTTCTCCCAAAGTAAATTCCTTTCATCATTCTTTTTCATTTACTAAGCTACTAAGATAATTTGCAAAATACAGTGTAACTGAGTAAAATATTCTTATTTTATATTGAGACTTTTAAGGCCAATTATATAAACACCTGCACAGATACTAAGCCCAGAGTGATACACTACAGTACTGACTGTCCTCTTGACTGAAGTAAAAAACATCTCTCAGCTAGTAATTTTTCATTTTTAGAACTGGAAGTATCTATTAGAAAAACAGTCAGTTTTAACTATAACACTGGATGACAGAACATCTACCACATGCCTAAATCAGACATTACAATGGTGAATTATACCTAAAAAGTACGTATCTTCCTTCTATATCTTAGATCCATTTTGATGATTGCTTCCCAAACACATAGTTCTATGTTGCACTAAAAAGTGACTCTTCCCAAAAAGAACTAAATACTGTTGAAACACAAACCACGTTAAGTTCAGGATTCTAAAAAAAAAATGAAAAAAAAAAAAGAAATAAAAAAAGGGAACAGAGGGGAATGAAGGGGTAGAGAGAGAGGGCAGAGGGGTAGAGAGGGAGTGTCACACTTCAGGACAAAGGAGCTTGCAGAACAAGTAAATTACCTGGAAGGCACCTAGAATGGCACTGTGATCCGAAAAAAAAGGACATTTCAAAGGAAAATTCAGCAAATACCAAGTAGGTCACAACAGAAGTGTCGTATAACCTAACAGCTTGTAGCTTCATATATGGGGCCTTAAGTGATCCAAGATCTATTTTTGACTATAGCTGGTCTTGAACTGGTAAGCTGATCCATGGTGCCAAAATTTACCAGGTCTTAGATATATACGATGCTACTTATACTTGGATTATCTTTTGCATTTCTAAATTAGCTAAATAAATTGAAAAAAATATTCACATGGGGTCAAAGAAGTCTTAAATCTGTAGCTGAGCTCAGTATTTAAATTTAGAGGCATAGTCAATAGCAGGGAACAATGGATAGAATGTTTTCCATTTAATTTAAATTTTAAAAAATGGGGTTACATTGAAGTACACGGGGTTAGGGACTTCTGCCATTGAAGCACATTTGAAAATTTTTCCAAAAATGCATGCAAGATATCAAAAACCAGCACAGTAGTGACTTTATACAAGGAATTACTGCAGAAAGGATTTTTAAAAGATACCAATCGGTGATCCTCACAAACCATTACTGCAGGAAAGCATTGTGTTCTAGTGTAACTGCCTGCCACAACTGCTTATTAAATCTAAGCTTTAGATTTCATCTAAGTTCCTCTACTACCATTCTGCCTCCTCCTCACAAGGAGATTGACACTGACTTAAATTTTGGTTTGTAAGATGGAAAAGTTTTACGGTGCCTGAGCAGCACTTGAAAATTACACAAGGAAGTATAAAGCCACGCTACACCTTACAAGGAGAAGGCCTCAAGGCATGAAAGCCCCCCCATAGTGAGTAAAGATGCACTTAGTTCAGAAGAGCACTGCAGATATGCAACATTCATTATAACAGACAGGCAATCCGGATTTGGAGAACAGAGTCATTCGTCATCTGTGATGGTCTGCTTTTATAGCAGCTTTTGGCTTTTGCAGGGATTTCTATTATAGACCATAATAAAGAACAGGATTATCAGTTCCCCAGGAATTAGAAAAGGGAAAGGCATAAGAATTCATCCATGTGCTGCAGCAGAGCCCAAGGCCAGACTGTCAGAAAATTTTTCTCTTGTGACAACTGGGAAATATATTCCTTTTTGCACCTTACAGATTCAGATCAAAAGAGATACTGTGTAACTTACTCTTCTTTCATGTGATTTCCCAACATTTAGAAAGGAAATTAAGTACTGTGAAAATAACAATATGTAATACTGGTTAATTTCAAACTTCCAAATGTAAAAAAATGCTGAAGTAACAAATATAGTAGTGACTATATTATGATACAATCTTTGAATGTGTCTTGTTCTAGAACCACAGCTTTTTAAAACCAAGAATAGACTGTGAGCCCTTCCCAAATCTTCATTTGCAAAGCCTAGCCATGATGATGAGAGACTGTGATAATAAAAATCAGATTTCCTGAATAAAATAGGTTACAGAACTGCCTGCTTTTGGTGCCCTGTTTTAATTAATTCTCACCTTAGAAAAGCAAAAGCCTAGTTAAAATTTATGACTCAAGTCAGTTAGCAGCACATAGTCCTTATTTTACAGAATCACAGAATATGTCGAGTTGGAAGGGACATACAAGGATCATTGGCTGTGCACAGGGCCATCCCCAATAGTCACACCATGTGCCTGAGAGTATTGTCCAAACACTTCTTGAACTCTGTCAGGCTTGGTGCTGTGATCACTTCCTGGGGGAGCCTGTTCCAGTACCCAACTACCCTCTGGGTGAAGAACCTTTTTCTAATATCTAACATAAACCTCCCCTGTCTAACTCTACATAGTTTTTGTTGTCAGAACTGACTGACAGCCTGAAAAGACTATTAAATTCTGTCTTACAAATCATGAACAAACTACCTGTGTTCTGTTTTTTTAAAATATAAGGTAAGTGGATATGTCACCAACCCCCGAGTATACACGTTTCCCAACTCTTTAGTGATTCTTCTCTGTTTTTAACCTGATCTGCTTCACAGCAGTACTAATTTTTTTCTGTTAGAATTAAATGAAGACAACAGAGTAAACAAGTTTAGAGACACAAAACTTCCTTAAGCCTAAGTTTCTCTATATGTTAATAACATATTTTAAAAATAAGTGCTCAATTTCAATTTCACATTGAATTTATTATTGTCATAAGCCTCATGTTTTCCAGGTGCTGATTTTCAGATCAGTTTCCTATTCTGTAACTGTGGTGTACTTGCTGATACATATTGGACCCTACATTTAGCTAAATGGAAACATTACACGATTTTATTAGAAAGGAACATGCAGAATGTTTTTACCCAGATCTAATATAAAAGAACTCTTTTTCAGGTGGCATAGTGCCTATGTCAGATTTCTACTTACTGCTCTATTTCTCTGCGATATCTCTCTTCTTCCTCTGCAGCCTTCTGGGAAATCTCCAGTTTTCTTCTGTAATAAGAAGAATTAGGACACCATGATAAAAATAGTATTTTCTGAGTAAGAACTTGGACAAAGTGTGTCAGCATATAGTTAGTAAAAGATATAGACAGTAAATACAAACATATTGGGGAAAATTTTTAAAAGTAGTCTTAAAGCTACCAAGGATGTATGTTTTCATAGGAACCCTGAGGTGATTCCTGACCATCTGGATAATAAGGACACTGAATCATAGAGGTATGACAGTCGGGGAGCAAAGTGACCCTTCTACTCGAGATGGGTTTGAGTGACATCAGCTTGGAAAACCCAGAATGTCAAGAGCACCACAGGATAAGCATTTTATGAACAGAGATTCTGCAACAGCAAAATCAAGTTAATCTAAGTTGGGAATCTTCTCACTTCTGCGAGAATTGTCACAGAAATCAAAGTGTGCTCCTGTCTCCCATGCCCTTTCCAAACCCAAGCTAAGTTTTTCAGACTGTCCTACACACAATCCTTACAGTCTCTCTTTCTCTTGCTGCTCTTTGATGATTTTGTTAGTCTCCAGCGCAAGCCGCTTCTGATGCATTAACTCCTGGCGTTCTTGCTCACGGAGACGTGCTTCTCTTTGTCTTTCTTCTTCAGTCATGAACAGCTCCTTTCCCTGCAATCACAACCACCACCCAAATCAGTTGTGAGAAAAACTCATGAATGTAGTTCTTTTAGGAAATAATTAAAAAATCAACTACATACTAGCACATCTGCCATTTCCTCACTTTTTCTGAGGAAGGCATTCTGAAAGACCCTGGAAGATCTGACCACTTCACTCCAAAGAGCTATTCAGTTTCATCCTCCAAGTTACTATGTGCTTAACACCTCATAGGAGTCATGCAACAACAGTGTAGGGGTCATGCCAAATACCTGCTCAGTGCGTCACCCAGAAAAAACTTGACATTATACCTTCTTGAAACCTAACTGAGCAATGAAATGTCAGAGAACAGCACACTGAATGATTCCCAGTGTGAAGACAACTACATAGTTACTGTGTTTTAATATTCTTATGCCTGGCTGCTGCTGAAAGGTACCGTCATTCAGGGAACCCAAACACAGGGAACACACATTCCCAAAACATTATATAGTTGATGTGTTTCAGTTGTTTTTGTTCCTGTTTCATTTGCTTTACAGTTAAGACAACACCACTACTTCCTATTCAAGAAAGATATTTCCATAGTGGAACATTGATAACATTTATCTAATTTTCATTTCTGAAATTAAAATCCCACGTTAATTAGGAAGGCAGGATTTTTCATGTCTCTAAGGCTCAAAGTAGACAGCTTAAACAAAAGCAGCCATTGAAGAATGCCTCTGCACCCTGGTCTTTGCTAATGAAAACCAGGAGTAGGGAAATTATTTCCTTTTGCTCTCTCTTCTCCAGTACAAAGATGTGTATTGAGGAAAGGAGAGACACGCAAGGTGAAGCAATGTGGAACAGAACAGTTCCATAGCAACAGTTTGTTCTAAGGACAGAATCCCAGCGATGCATGCTGGAGTAGATCTCATCTTTTCTAACAGTTCGTAACATATCTGGAAGTTGAAACTAAGTCCTTAGGATGTTGAGTTTCTGGAGCTTAATAATTGGGTCTGGAGTATTTTTTTAAACAATGTCTACAACGTCTTTGGAAAACTGCATCTCTTGTTACCATAGGAGCAGTTTAAATAAACCATTAATTCCTTAATGTAGCAACACTCAACCCTTAGGAAATAGCTGAAGTGATTTATTACATCTTTTTTTCCCCTATTTAATTCAGTTGCAAGACAATTAGGAAACACCATCTTTGATTAGTCTATGGAACTTGATTATCCTCTTGTACATAACTACACACTTTGCAGTAAGAAGGATTAAGGCAGTAAAAACATTCAAACATTTATTAAAAGTCACACTGAAGTCAGAGAGAAGATTTAATTAATTTCAACTGGCTTTAGATTAAGCCCCAAAGGCTTAAAGTTGTATTGTAAAAAACACTGGAAATGGAAAACTGAACAATTTTCAATGTGTTGATACACTAAATAGATCAGATAAACAGTTACACAATGAATTCATTTGGAATAAGACTAAGACATCATCTATTCAGGATTTGACTCCAATCCAATTTACCTTTTATGTTTCAGCAGAAGCAGATATCTATTTGAACAGAAGCTCTCAAACACGAGAAGCCATTACGGTAAATTTAATTTCCACTGTAAAGGGAACTGTTTTGCATTGGCCCACAATCATGAAACAGTTTCATTTGAGAACACTTTGGATGGTATGAAATAATCGAAAGCCATTCAACACTGCCCTGGTTTGACAGAATTTAGTGGTACAGATCTTATAAAGAAACAGAGGTTTAGTTTTTACAATTTTCTGTTTACCATTTATTTGCTGACATAGGAATTTTCACCAGTGTTCTGCTTTTACAAATATACTACTTACAGCGCCTGCTACCACAGAGATAGTCAAAGTACGACTACTTTTGAGCACTCTGACAGCCTGCAAATTAAAACAAAACAAAAATCAGCCTGAAACAAGCGGTAAAAAAGGTCAGTATATATTCAATGGAAGATGCTGGCTGTCAAGGTTGGAATTTCCAGAAGCCCCACCTGAACTAATCAGGGTGGTAGGTATGCAAACCTCCACATTCCCATGCTCCATTCAAGTTAGTAGCCTAGTATGAAAATCAATTCTTTGTGGCCAGGAAGATCAGAGAGATGTTTAATAAGCTGACAACTACAAACTCAGGGAATTAGAAAGACTTGATCTTACCTCTTTATGATCCACGTTAGAAAAGTCCACTCCATTTACCTCAACAATCTGATCACCAACCTAAAGAAATTAATACAAATTTTAGTACAGATGCTAAGTTACTACATATATTAAATAAAACCAGAAAGAGATATGCTCTCCAACATCCTTAATACAATAATCATGGGTACTGGCAGAGCACAAGGGGAACAGACCAGAAACTGGTCAGGCTTGCACATCCTCCTATACTAGCATTTCCTATTGCCACTGCTTGAGATCAAATCCTGAGCTTGGCAGGATATTGGTCTGACCCAGGTCATTCATGTTCTTAAAATTTTAGGAAACTAGCTTCATTTGAAATATAGCCAAAAGGTATTCCTTTTCCATGGGAAAAAAACCCCCAAAACAACAAAAAACAACCCAGCTAGTCACTTTACAGTGATCCAGAATCCTTGAAGTCAAAAATACCAAACAAGAGGTCCTTGTGGTACCTATCTTGGAAGGTGACATACTCACCTCTAAGCCCACCTCTGCTGAAAGAGAACCCGGCTTAACATTGCTGATAAAAATGCCTGGTTTTTGTGTCGGACCACTGGAAATACTGGTAATATAAGAAACCCAAAACATTTATTGGATGATACTTATAGAATAATACAGTATAATACAGTGAATAGTTTTAGTTGTTTAATCAAAAATAACTTACGAGAAAAGAATATTTATGGCATGAGCCTACTCTTAAACAAACACCATAACAGCTTATCATCCTGCTTTTTTATTTTTTACACCACAAAACTCTTATTTAAGAAAAAGCTAAAAGAAAAATATTCAAGCTTCTAGATTTTGCCTTAGATGTTGCAACTAACACAGTATACTGACCTACACCTTCTAAGGGACACCAACAGTATTTGAAAGTGAGCAACCCAATGAAGAATTACTAATTGTTCGCATGTTTACTCACTGAACTGCAGTATATTCTGTGTATAAAACCGTGTTATTTTTTTAGGATTTTATATTAAAAGCAAGAAGGATGTTTCAACCAGAGGAACATCTAGCTTGGAAAATTTAAGCTGCCATCTAAGCTGGGCCCAAACACAGAAACTACTTTTGTAGATTATATATCCAACAAGTGATGTTGAACCACCCTCCCAGGTCCATAAATAATTTTTAGAAGTCTTTATATCCTCCAGATAACATGGAAGAAAACTCCTGGCATATTCCTAAATATTCCTAAATACAACTACATATTCCTAAATACATAAAAAAATTCTACAATATCCCTTCTACCCCAAAACCTCCATAACTAGTGCGAGGACAAGAGTCTGAAAATCAGAGAATCATATTTCTAAAAAAACCCTGCAGATTCAACATTAATTTTAGGAACTGGATATAGCTTTATGATGGTTTTTGTTTTGTTTTGTTTATATCAGAAATTTTAACACAGGTATTTATGTTTTGTCTAAAAATAAGTAATATGTGCCACAGATATCCTGCTGTTGCAGTTTGCCTTTCTGATCCAACATAGATCTTTATTTTCAGATATCATAGCAACAAAGGATGGAAATAACTGCCTTGAATGTCTCACTTAATAAACCAGTGACATTAAATAACAAATGTCTACGCACCTGCATCCCATGCCTTTTGTACCTATCAAGCTAATGAAGACTTTCTTCTCCTTACTGTCTCTCCCTCCAGAAGAAGCAAGTCCAGCAACACTGCCCTTTGCTTCCTATAGAGGGATTAAAAAATGTTGCAGATGTTACTCTGTCTTGAATTCATATCAAGACTACTATAAAATTTCCTATAGCCAAAATGAAACCCCGCCAACATCAAGATAAGATTCCTCCAAGGTCCTATCCTACTGGAAATGAATGTGAATTAGAGTCATTTCAGTGGATCTGCATGACTAAGGTGAAAGACTGAACTTATCTATTTGGAGAAGATTACTTAAATAGTCAAACTTGGTCTTCAGAAAAGGCTGAAGAAAAATTAGAGGAAAGTGATATGGCAAAATAATCATTTAGCTGTTCCCTGACAATAGGGCTGGAGAAATACACGATAGTGCTCGCTATTGAACTAAGTCTTTCTTCCTGAAAGGGAAAGAACAGTAATTGTGGTATTTCTTTTCACTGCTGCAACCCTTTGCATTCAAAGTTGTCATTCCTCCACTAATACACCTAACATAGACAAAATAATCTGATAAAGATTTAAACAGTAGAACTACAGGCTGGGAAGTCAATAAGCTCAAGCAAAATAAAGCACCAATTAATGAGTAAAAGCTATTTCATTTGTGTCCTGCCCTTTTTTTACCTAATGGTTCTAGAATAATTTCATATAAAAAAAAATGTTTCTAACAGAACACTTGTAACAAGATATTGCATCATAGAAATACAAACAATAGTTTCTATAATAAGGTCAGAGGAGAAACTGTTTCAGAACCATTACAGATTTTCCAGAAGATATGTTAATAAAATATTGATCTCTTACCCCAGATTCTGACACAAACTGATCTACATATTGCCATTTAAGGGGTTCATCTGCTGAACTGGAAGGAGAAAACAATTTAAAATAATGGCACAAATAAAAATGTACTCAAGAAGCTACTTTTGAATGTGGTCTTCTATTTTGCAACCACAACTTTCTTTGGATACTATTCACAACAACTGGTTTATTTGTCATCAATTTAAATAAAACATCAAACAACAATACAATTATTTAAGCTAGTAAAGCTGGTCAGATATAAAATTGATCAAACCTCCTCAAGTGAAACAATTTTAGGAAACTCTAAGAAAGACTGTAAAAAAACCATAACAACTCGAACAGCTTATATAAATGTCTATGCAGACAGACATCTCCCATCACTAAAATTTCTGTAACATTCCACTTAAAGATTCAACTTTTCAACAAAAATTACAAGTGGACAATAATTCTAAATTCTTCCAAGCTCTGAAGCAAGTCTCAGATGCTACATGCATAAAGAAGCAGTGGATCTCTCTGTTAAGACAGGTACATTGATAATTAAATTTCCAGGAAACATCCATGAAAAACGAGGAAATAGAAGAGGGTTAAGGAGACAACCGGCATAAAAAGTCAGATTCATCAAAGAAGACATCTGCCCATTTATTACAAAGAAAATGACATTTTAATCAGCATTCAAAACATTTTCATAATAAACACAGGTTCTTTGGATACAAAAGGCTAAGTGAAAATAAGTGATCTAATTTGTTTTCACATGAAATACCCTTACCTTTTGACAGGTATCATGCCAACATCTGAAAAAGAAAAATTCTCTGTTAAGTTTCTACAGATCATCAGCAATCTATTAATAAGAGTCAGTAATCTATTAATAATCTTTGGTGATAGAGGTGATTTTTTAAGTTACTTACGTCTTACTTTTATGGACACTATTTTCTTTGTACGAATGAGGTTTATGACTTCTTCATGTGTGCATGATGAAATGGAATATCCATTTATACGAACTATCTCATCTCCAACCTCAAAAATGAAAGGGAGAAGAAAAAATAATTGTGAATTAATATTTTAAAAGGTTTGCAAGCAATAATACAATCTGGTAATAATTTTGATGCAAAGGTTTGATACTGTTGAGTCCTGAATACTTTCTGAATTTCAGGTAATGTTTAGATCAGATTTACCCATATTTGTTTAGACTTGATATTGAACACCAAAAGGCAGATTAGTGGCCAAATAACAATTTTATAAATACTATCTAGTCTCTACACATCAGATTTGTACTCCACAGATTATCTTAAATACAAGGTCCATGTGTTAATTCAAATAATTCTGGAGTGATTTTCTTCCTTTACACTTCAGCAGTTTAACTTTGCTTTTACTATCTGTTTTCTGAGAGACCTTCCTTCAATAGGAAACTTTCACTTGGTCTTATTACCTTGCCCGATTCTGGATTCAGAAAATGCATCTCTTTGTCTTTTTTTGGGGACCATGCTAACCTTTATTGGCAATCAAATGGCAGCACCCCAAGAACATTCCCTAGCAGTGTTCAATTTACTCGTGTAGAATAGACAGGGTGGCCACTTCTATAAAATTTCAAATTTTATTTATCAGAATACAATCAAAAGGCTTCCCTTCCTCTAGTATAAATCCAAATTTGATATGCTACGATGATTAGACTAGAAATTTCCAAGTTTCTATAAATTCTGCCTAATGATTCCCTCAGCTAGGGAGGCTGAGAAGAAATCAGTGATGGAAACATTGCCCACTCCATTTAAGGTTGAACCTTATGAGCTGCTCAAGATAAGACTGAAAAATGCAGGTCCTGGCTAGACCTTTACTAACAAAGACTTTTACTTAACATGACAGGGCACTATGAAAACTAGAGCACAACTTCTTCCACTAGGCACCACAAATCAATCCACTGCACAATAAGATATACAAATAATTCCCAGGAAACGACTAACAAACCACCAACACTATCTTCTTATACCTCTGTATTTTGATCTCTACAAGGACAAAGTCAAATACTTTGGTTTCACTGCTCTCTGGTAGCGTTTCCTCTAAACTACTATTAATATTTATTATGTGAAATGTATCAAAATGCCACACTGATACTTGACGGGACTTTTCTCATTAATGTTAACAGCACAGGATTTTGTTCTTAATCAATGAAACTTTGTGTGTCTCCTCACAAATGCATCTGCTTTCATGGCAGCGTTACCACTGGTTAATGATTGCCTAAAATGTTCCATTTGAAGACTCAAGTTTCAAGCTCCCAAATTTCTTTTTAGGCTTAAGTCTTCCATGCTGGTATCTACGTCAGGCTGATTTCAAGTTTCAGCAAAGCTAAAGCAACTCGTTTTAATCAAGAAATCTGGGTGGAATGCATTGTCATGCTCGTTAAAAAGAAATATCTACAATTATTTTGTTGCGAGGTTCTGTGCTTTCACTTTAGGTCTGGAAAAGGTCCTTATGTTACAAATTAAGACTACTATTTTTACAGTCTTAGTGAAGATCTTTATTGACTAAAAAGTTTAGGGGAAGAGGCAGGTTCATCAAAACACACTTCATGAAAATGAATAAAGACTCGCTATACCAGTTCTGATCTGGGGGGAACCTCCCCTTCATCTGCTTGCTTTGGGACTGCCAGTGCACCAGTCCCTGGTACCAAGATCAGTTGTGAACACACTTTCAACTGCTGCTGCAGAAGATCAGAAAAGCTGGCTCTTCCAGAATGCCAGAGGCACAGGAGACTCATCAGGAACATGAAGAAATGAGAAGCTTCATTCAGCCCTAACCACTCAAAAAAAATTGCCATTGTGCAAAACCCAAACCCCGCTATCTGCTTACAGAATGGACTTCATAAAGAATTCACGAGAGTATTACAATAAATATTGTAATATTTAATGCATTTGTCAAGACTGTACCACTTTAGATAACCCCGGGACCGATTTTTTTAACATAACAGTTTTGGTTTTTTCTTTTGAGCCAGATACGTCTAGTCCAACTTTACTGTCACTGAAATGACAGAGGTAATGGCATCAGTCTTAGTGGTCTACTGTGGTTGTACAGACCAAATCACACAGTGTATTCACTGTTTTCTCCATCACACAAGGCTGATGGGAGTATCTGTGACTGAAAAAATTGAAGTCACAGTTTAGGTAGTAGCTTCCTTGTACCTTGGCAACAGTTTTAAGAAAAAGAAAAAGGCCATAGCTGGAGATTCCTCCTTTGACACTGCACAGCTCAGTGCTGAAGGCCTAAATTTGCATCACCAGATTTATGTGAGAGGAATGAGTGGAACTGGGAGTAGGAATTTCTCAATATAGCCTGTGTCTTAGAGACTGTCACATTAACTCACACTGTGACAGGTCTACCCTTGCGTGACAGGACACTGGGCCGTCACCTTCTGCCTTTTTTCATATGTAATAAGTACTACTGAATCTTCCTACTGTGATCTGTTCAACTGAAAAAAAACCCCATAATCAACAAAACAAGAAACTACCCACTTATCTTCTTTACTTGTTTCGCAAGCTTTTCTAATTCTTCTGAGAAGTGCCACATGCTCTGCAATATTACACAAAACATTAACAACACATCCAATCTACCATCATAGCTCATGTAGCACATTTTGCACTGAAGATGAAGATTTTTATCTGACACAAAACAGCATCAGCAGGCTACAAAAGCACAGAAAACACAGTATGTGACTGTGTTGCAGGAGAGAACTCACGGCAGGGGCAAAACAGGACTGTTGTCTCCAGCCCCTGACAGTGGGACATCCACTCCCTCTGCTGGGCATCCAAAAAATCTCACCCAGGGCAATGGCCTGCATTCTAAATAGTTTGAATGTTTTTAAGCCAGCCAGTCTTTTAAAATTATCTCTAATAAGAGCAGAAAGTGGTCAGAAACGAAGGGTTTAGAACGTTCAAACTGTGGTAGAAATGCAGAATCTGAAAAGGAAAAGTACATGAGATCTGCAGTCTAGAGTTGCACAGCTGATAGCTCTCACGATGAAAGAACACTCACTTAACCAACTTGTTCCAAACGTTCAAAACGACATCCATTCATCCCACAAGCCTGGTAGCCATGCAATTGCAGTCCTCTTTTTCCTGAAAATACACCACTAAATTCTTAGCTAGTTCCACACCCCAAAACCAAGAAGGTTTATCTGGAACTTCCAGATAAGGCTTCCCAGGGATATAGTCATGGCCCCAAGCCCGCCAGAGCTAAAGAAGTGTTTGGTCAACACTCTCAGGTACATGGTGTGATTGTTGGGGCTGTCCTGTGCAGGGCCAGGAACTGGACTTCGATGATCCATTTAGGTCTCTTCCAAGTTAGGATGTTCTACAGTTCTAAAAATTTACTCTAGAGCTGTTTCACTGCCCTTGACACTTAGGAAACTCACTGTGAATAGCATGTTTTTAGGACTGGGATTAGAACTGGAAGCAAAATGGCTCAGAGACAAGTCAGACTTGTGGTACTGTGTATAAAGACTCATAAGCTCTACAAACCATAAAGACTCTCAGCCTATTTAGGATTCTGCTGGTTACACTAGTAGGAAAGCAAGTGACCTCTGCTTTTCAAAGGAAGGTAGAGTTCCTTAGTGACAAAATGCTCAAAATACTTTCTCCATTCCCATCTCTGGCCTCTCTCTGGATTAGTCACTTGGAAAAGTACTGGAATTTTGTGTATAACTTTTCTCTTGATCTTATGTATTGGAGGGAGGGGTGCTTTTTGTTTGGTTTTTGTTTAGTTCAAGATCCCTCATTTACTCACATCTTCCACATCATGCAGGCTATAACAGACCATGGAGTCTGGCTTTGCACAAACTCAACTCTTTAAAAGGATAACCTAAAAATGTTTTTAACTGCAATGCCTTAACACACAAAAGTACCCCAGTTTCAGGACTGCAAATGTCAGTGCCATCATGGGGCCAGTCAGTGCCATTTAATTTCTGAAACTCAGCACTCTTCAGTCAACCTAATAACATTTGTATTACTGACTGACAATTACTGATGGTGCTTTAGAAATAACCCAACCTAGGCTGAACTACAGGAGATGTATAGGCACAAAACAAACTGCTTCTCTTTAGGACACTTGAACAGCTTCTCCTGAACAAAGTTGTCTAATACTAGGGTAATTAATAGTTGTTTTCATATATTTTGTTACTTTTGAACTGGTATACCAACGTAATGAATCTGAAGCAGTAGAGACAAAAGTCTGTAGGATTGAGTAGAGCAGAACACTAACAATTACTTTGGTATTATATATCACAGTTTCTCCTTTCCCTATTAAACAGGGAGATGACAGAATTTTGAGATAAAAAGATGCAAACCTAACTTTTCCCAAGAGAAATGCCTATTATTTGCAACTTTTAACATAAGAAATATAATATATAGTGCTTCTAGAAAATTGAAGGGTTTATATAATAATATCAACTGTTTCAAATTTCACATTTGAAACATTCATATGATGAAACTTTCATCACTCATACCAACCTCCATCTCTTTGTATTCACCAGAATCCCCACACACATAAGTATCAGAAAGCAATGGGGGGGGAGAATGAAGTACATTTCTCCATGAAAGAACAAAACACTTGCAGCCTTTTAGAGAAACTGTAGTCAAAAAAGGGACAAAACTACAAGTGCCACAGTGAGCCTCCATGATTATTCAGTCATTTCAATGTAACTTGGAAAGCACTTCAAGGAGAAATCATGCAAAATTAACTGGAATTTTTTTTAAAGTAGCAGGATGTAAAACTGACGGTATAATAGAAGATCATTATACCTTTCTCAGACAGCATTTTTAGGATAGAAAACGCGTAGAGATTTAGTTAAATAAAGCAGGTAGGTGAAATTTCAGAAGCAGTTGGCTTTACTGTGAGACAGCAATTTAGAACAATGGGCTGCCTGTCAGGTCTTGTTATTCAGTGAGGTTCAGAAAGTGCCTAGTGCCGCCTATTATTCAGGCACTTTAGGCTGAGCTTTAACACCGCATATCAAAAAACAGAAATCAGGCTGCAAAGCAGGAGCTGCAAAGCACCATCTGCTCATATTAATTCATATAATCTAAGCCTAAAAAATTCACAGTCAGTCTCAAGTATACTTCCCCCTTATTGTCCCTACTATGCGTGCAAACTCTAACCATGTCCTGAGTTGCAATACAGCTTGTACAGCCCAGCCCTGAGATCCTTTACAATCCCATTCATTGCCACTAACATGTAGTGCAATGACCTCAGTCACAGCCTTTTTGTGTACTGAGAAATCAGGAAAACTGACATCCTTAGAGTAACACAACTGAGCTTAGTGATTGTGTCGAAACATTAGCCTGAAACAAGCTGAGAAGCAGAGCTGCAAAACAGCATTAAGAGGTACATATTAGCATGACAATTTAAGACAGTGGCTATTAAGTCCTTTATTGCTCAGCATCATTAATGCTTTCCAGTATTTTCCAGGAGATGTTTTCAAAAGCCATACAAGCAACTGGTCTTTGTCTTTTTCTCAGTTTTCTAGCATGGAAGAAGGATGCAGCTGGAATATCTCTGATGAGCTAACCACAACCCAGGAACAACTCTTGTCTACACTTCCTATTCTCAGTGTCTAACATAGTAGGTGAGGTCCATGAATTTGTGCAGTGCAAACTCTGAGATGGTGCATTAATGCCCTTTTCTGGAGTTACTGACTGGTAAATCCCAGGCTTAAAAGCAGGCTGACAACACATACAGCAAAGTGTTTGTCGTGTCCTAAAACACCCTCTCAGTTCTAATTACATACAGAACTTATGGTTTTGTTCTATAAAGGAGTTTCTAAAGTACCCAGGGAGCCAGTCATGCATCAGTCCAGAGCAGACTGACAGAAGATGGGACTAATTCAATGGTGATCCTAAATCAGATATACAGCTATGAAGGCAAAAACAAAAGGGCACACACATGCATGCAAACAGAGAGAGGAACAGTTATTTAAATTTCAGAAAGCTCTCAGCATGAGTTACACAAACGTGGAAACCTAATTTAACTGCCTTATTGACAGAGACTTATTTTTAATTTTTAATGTAGGAGAGTCATGGCATAATGCTGAAGCACATCTACAAAAAACATAAATTCAATCAAAACCTGTAATGATTCATGGCAGCCTAATATATTTTGTACTAATATTAAACATAATCCTTAACCATCAATACTTTCAGCAAATATTCAGACTCAACAAATTAAAATTAGTCCTTCCACTCAAACTCAGACCTTTAATACGCCTTATCAGATTCAAAGTCATAGAAGGATGCAGACATCTGCCACAGCAATTGCTCACTTCTCTCTTCACTAAGCAATGCCACATTCAAAGAGAAGCCAAACACTCAAAACTTCATGAATGCAAATTGCATAAGTACTGATTTAGAAAAAAAGTGTTCCTATACATAATTATTTTTGCCAACCTTGTTGGTAGGTTTGTGTATCTAAAATGTAATCACAGAAGTGCAATTCTATACAGTACAAAGGACACTGGAAATAGTTAAAAATAGCATCTTTCTTTTATTGCATAAACCAAAACCTCCACAATTTATACATGATTTCAAATAAACATTCCATTACAGAAATTATATCTGTGCAAAGTGGAACTAACACTTTTAGCATTTATAAGACCTATTCTACATGTAATCAGAATTTGGCAATGTAAACCACTCTTACACAGCCTAGAGATCTTTCTTTCCATCTGCGTACATTTAACTGTTGCTACTCATGAAGTATAAACACTCCAGAAAAATCTTTACTCTTCAAAAATTATCATATCCCAAATAAGGAAAAAAAAAGGTTTACATATCACCAAAAATGGTGAAATGAACAGTGTTACAACTTGTATAATGGTATTGGCTATGGTATTGACTTACATATCTTACGGATTTTATTAGAAGAGACAAAGAGCTCCTTAGCAATAGTAACTTCTAAATGTTAAAGAACAATCCTTAGTGCCTAACATTACATGAATATAATTCTCTTACCTGAAGTCCAGCATTGTCTGCCTGTCCTCCTTTAACTAACTGGGAGATGAAGAGGCCACAGCCGAATTCCAGTCCACCTCTCACACTTATTCCAAGCCCTTCAGGATTCAAACGATCCAATCTCACCTCTTTCAGCTTTCTGCAAAAACAGAAGATACTTGACTGTTCAACTGAGTAACACCTTGTGGCAAATATGTTTCATATGGAAGTTAGACATTATTTTTCCTGCTATATGATTCAGGCATTTAAAAAAGCAAGTTGACTGAAGTTTGGATGGATGTGTGTTAGCTAAAGACATCAAGTATTATTCGTACAAAAAGACATCTGTAACCACTGAATGTATCTGCTTCCAGAGGGCTAGAGCTATGAGAATTTTTTTATTACCAAATGCAGGAAAAACGAGAAAATATTTTTTTTTACTCCTTTATCCTACTTTTACTAGATTAAAGCAGGTGGCAGACAATTTCAGGTAGTTGTATTTCTAGTAAATAAATCAACAGTAAAATAACTATGCCCAGCTCAACACTAAACCAATATTTTACTCTGAACTTACCTGGAAACCCAGTATTTCCTGCTTGATTTAAGTCAGCTGCACTGTTCTGCATTTTCTTACCGTGATCGTTTGGGTGTCAGCTGATCATATTCCACCTGGTGTTTTAAGGGGATAAGTGGGCGGATAGCATCAAATAGAGGCAATCTGCTTGGCTCATTAATCACGAGTTTTAGGTCCCCCACAAGCACTGGAAGATTCATAGATCTGCAAAAACACAGTGAGAAAACAAGCACAGGTAAACAACACAAAGCACTGTTTTAAAAGTTACTGTACATGTGGCTTCGATATTTGCATGTCCTTTCAAGCTACTCAAAAAGTTATTTATGCAGATATTGGTTTAGCCAAAGCAAAATAGTCTCTCAGGAAGTAAGCCTTCTGTAAGTAAAAAATAATAACAACTATCTGCTCCAAAATAACTGAAGTCTTCTATACGTTGACTTTATCTTTTAAGATCATGCACATCACATTTATAGGTGACATCCTTAATTTCATTCTCAGAGTCCCCACAAGATTTATGGAACTGTTCAGAAATAACTTTCCAGATTAGACATACCTGCCTACTAGATTTTTGTTTCCTTACCAGTTAGGAATCCTTTTAAGTAAATCTAGGCTACAGGCTCCTTTCTTTCCTGAACTTAGGGGACTGAAAAATTGTTTCAATCCAGGAAAAAAAAAAAAAATCGCAATACTCCATTGCTAGAGCAAAGACTTGGCTTAAATTTTATTTTTTTTTTTTCCAAATCAAATTTGAAGGACGATCAACCAATAAACAAAACCTACTGATAAGTGTCAGCACTGTGATAGTTATATGCCTACAAAATATACTTTGTTGTACAGCTGCAAGAGGTGGAAGAGCTCCCTAAGGTTCAGTGGAGTTATTCCTACACAATACCAAGTTAAATTTACTCTGTATTATTTGCTGCTCCCTTTCTTATAATTTACATTTCCTGGCATACAGTATTACAGATTAGAGGTCAAAAACTTCTGGAAATGGTATTCATAGTGAAGAAGATATTAAGTCTTCAACAGCAACTGTATGTATTTTTGCCCTGGAATATTTCACCATGTATTTCCAAAAAGTGATACATCATAAACATACATTCACAGACATACTAAAAATTTTGCCCAAGTCATTGCAATTTTGGAAATTAAAGAAAAGTTGCTATATGCATTGTTAATTTTCTAACTGCAAGAAGATTTTAAATAATTCAGAGCTACTGAATCAACCAGCTTTCCAAACAACAGCCTTTATGAATGGAAAAGCAATTAGACAGACCTGAGTGAAACTGAATCAGATATGCAGCTGAATACCCCCATAACTATAGCTCAGGGCAAACATCAGATGGAAAAGGCTACATTTCAGTCAGCTGAGATGCTATTAATTACGATATGAATGGAAACAGTGTCTATCAGAGCCACTTCTCTATGATGAGTGGAAAATACATTCTCATCTTCTTTGAAAAACAATGGATCAGAGACTGATGAAATTTGCAATGATACAAGTCTGAAGCAACTGTGGTTTAAATCAGTTCAGCAAGAGGATTGATAATAGGCCTATCACCTTACCAGTTTTTTACCATTGTGTTGTAATAAGCCAGTCATTAAACATGATAAACATTACAAAACTAAATTTTTTCAGCTTTCTGAAAAAACAGTTGCAAATTTTTTATCTGAATACTTAGCAAAAATTTCTGCAAAGCAATCTCAACAGAAACCTCTGTAGCAAATAGGTAACCATTATTTGTTTCCTAAGAACAGTTTTATCATCCAGGTGCTTCCCCCACACACACCTCCCACATATGAATCCATCAAATTCTTTTAGAAAACTACCAACTCAAAAAACCAAAGTAACTTTATAGGTGCCTACAGGTTATACTGTGAAACCGTAAGATGTCATTAAACAGGATAAAAACTATTACTAAAAACTAAAACTAAAACTAATTTTTTAGTAGCATATAGAAAGACAATTTAAAATCTTGAATATTCACTCTTTAAATTTAAAAATATTAGTAAAATGCTACACAAACACATAAAAAACTAGATCTTACTGGTGGTACATCCGCAGCACATCATAAAGATAATCCTTCTCCGCTTCATTGTCAATTAATAGATTAACCTGAAAACCCAAAGACATTATCATAAATCTCTGACTAAATAGCCACAAATGTTAAACATAAGAGAGTTTCGCAGATTCTTAAGCTATAGAGCAAGGACTTCATCAAGGAAAGACTTACTTAAGACTTATTTTTAAGATAAATATCTTTTTGCAACAGAGCATTACCTCACGAAGTCGCACTTATAACAAGACTTTCTGAAATTAGTATTACAACAATTGGACAAGGTGGCAAATGCTGATATATATCTATGCAGTGGTAATATTATTACAATAATATCATATTTGTCTTACCTGAAAATCACTGTACTGTTGAATAAATGTCTTCAGAAACCTTTTTGGCCATTCATTAATGTAGCACATGCTGTCACAGATAAAACCACTACACTGATATAATTTATGTTCTGTTGTCCAAATCACCAGTTTCAGGATCTCACTTATAACATTATGCAAACTGCTGCATCTCTGTTCCTCTCTGCTCCAGCTCTTAACTGATAGAACTTGCTAATTATTCTTTCCTCCCCCACCAATAGTACATTTACTTAAACCAGTGTCATGTTACTATGCCGGCTCTTGCATAATTACAGTAAATTAAAGCAAAAAAACCCCCAAAATTCTTATATGAGGACTTCAATTTATATTCAGTGATAGTGAGACCCTCACTAATCTTACTTGCAGCGAGAGGTCACATCACAGTAGTTTTACATCTGAAGAAGCTTGATGTTTAGGAAAACAATTTACATCTGACCTAAAGGCTAATATTACTGTGACGTGAAGACTGAGGAGCAATTTGCATACTTAAAGAAAGGCACTTTCTTTCTAGGTTTGCAATGGTTTGCATTATGTTCAAACTCAATACATGCTTCACATTCCTTTTGTCCCACTTGGCTCTCTAAAGCCAGCAAGACTTCACATACAGGTGGTTTTCTGTTACTTGTCTCCCCTGGAAAAAAACCACTTTCAAAACACTGAAAGGCCAAAAATCTACATGCAGGTCAAGACTGCTTGACAGTAATACTAGTGAACAAACCAGTTTATTCACAGTGAATTTCAAAGCATAGAGGATAAAGTCTGCCTTAAAAGGAAATAAAACAGTTGCAATCAAAACTGACTGGGCCCCGATACTGTGCACAGACTCAAGTCAAGGTGATACATGTAAAACTGAGTCCAGCATCCATTTTTTACTTCCCCAACAGGAAAAATATAACATATAAGTCAGTTTTGGCTCTGGTATACAGAACTCAATTTCCAGTGCTAGTTAAGCTACTTTATGAGCAGTGTCTCATGAAGAACATTAAATGTTTAAGCATGTCAACCCTACACAGCTAAGGGCAAAACCATCACCATCTCTTCTCCTGACGGGGAAAGCAAGGAGTAACAACATTCCATTTTTCTCCTGATATGCTAACTGATGGACACGTCCCCATTCCCTCTCCAGAAATGGAGATCCATATCTAAATTCTGCTCTTTCTTCTCACAAAATGGTCAGTCTTGCTGTTTGATTCCTGCACTTCTCACCCTGCATCAGCAACTTCCTCATCCTCTGGACAAAAACAAATGCACTAATGACTTCTTATATATTCAGAATGCTACAGCTGGGTTAATCCTCCTGGGCCATCTCTCCAAATGAGTCATTCTTCTCCCATTGCCCTCTATTCCACCATTACTGCATCATAGCCACCTGCATCTCTTACCATTTTCCTAATTCTTAAATTCTTTGGGATAGAAACTTACTGTAGACATATGCTTTACCTAGGCTTATCATCAGCTTCTAAAATCTGACTCAAATTTCATAAATCCTAAACAATCACGGGCCCCATCTTCAAAAAAAAAAAAAATACAGTGGTGACATGGTGTAACTTGGATCACAGAAATATTTCAGTATATCTCTATTTGAGAAGTAAATAACTGTGGAGGCATGGGATAGGTATTTTCACACCTTTTAAACCAAGGATATTAAAAAAAAAACCATCTGGACACAGCCCTGGGCAATCTGCTCCTGGTGCCTGTATTTGAGCATGGGGTTGGAGCACATGACCTCCAGAGGTCCCTTCCAAACTCAGCCTTTCTGTGATTATTTAAATAGTCCTCACTGTAGTAGAATTATTTAAAATCCTAGAACATAAATAGTTGTTGACACATTACTGCAGAATATGCACTGTTTTTCATAAAAATTAATAAGAAGTGTTCACAAAACCTGCACTTACATAAAAAAGAAAAATTGAATCTGTTAACAAGTCTACATAAGTTTATTTAGTAAAACAGAAGTTGTGGGGAGTAAAAAGCACTTTTTGGTGTGGAAAAAGTTCAGATTACAATGCACTGCTGTAGAACAAGCCCAATCTGTCAGCTTTCAAAGAATAATATACATTTCTATTTAAGCTACACAGACACTGAAAAACTATTGAAAGAAAGGAAAGAGCTGGTCAATATATTTGGATATATTACATACTTTACACTGGTACTTCATTGATAGGGAAAACTGATTAAAATTTCTAAGAAAAAGAAAAAAGAAAGTGACAAAGAAAACTCAGATCCTATGGCAGAACATTTTTACTGGTTTGTCACAGAAAAAGCAGGCATTCAAGGCTTTGGATGCCACAGAGGCCACTAAAAGCAGGATGATACAAAATAATTCAAAGAAAAGACCTGCTACAGTATCCTGTAACTCAGATAAAGTTTTCACTTATATCTGCATCCTACCTATTTGCAGTAATGCTGAAAATACATCTTACGTTATCGGGGTGGGACTTGAATGATGTATGAATTATAGCAGCAATGAAAGGGAAAAGGTTTAAAGTTCAAGCTGGTAACCATCTGCCTAGAAACCAGAGTCTTTATAGATACATTGCACAACCCACTGCTGAGTTATACAGTAATAGGTAGCAAGGCAGAAATAAAGTGCTAGATGGCTACAGTCCTTAATGTTTTTTGAACTTCAGTTTGACATAAAAGCGTTTTTTGCATTCCCTCTACTTCAACCTAACAATCTCTTAGTTAATGGGTTTATTACCAGGCAACAGATACTTCTATGTAACATTACTTTGAAGAAATTGTGTTTTCTAGCTGACTAAAAGAAAACTGAAACAAAAAACCAAACGAGACCAACTATAACCTCTTTCATAAAAACAAGCAAACAAACAAAACCCCCCAAACAAACAAACAAAACCCCAAGCCCCCAAAGCAGTACTGAAAATTTTAATCTGAGAGTCCTAAATGGCTTTGCAAAAAACATCTCTTAAACATGCAAACTATTTTCCTCCTCCTTTCCTTAATTAGAGCTTTTTGAGCTTCCTTTGCTCATACCATTTTGCGCTCTGCTGAGCACTTATTTAACTGGGTAAATAACAAAATGACGTGCCAGGCAGACCGAGTAGCTCCATGTATCAAATGCATTTGCACATGACTGCACATGTACAATTCCACTGGGGAATGTTAAGGTGGAACTGGGTGCTCGCAGGGCTGGGATGGGCACTGCCAGCGCCTGGACTTCAGCACCTGCGCTGCTGCCTTGCCCTGAGCTGGGCCGGGCGCGACGTGGTATTAACATAACAAATTCAGTCAAGCCCTGGAAAAGCTCCTGCGCTGGGAAACGCTCTTCATTTCTCTCCCTCCCTTTTTAGGAGTTTTAACTATCTTCTCACAGGCGGCTGCCGCCCGCTTTTCCGCGCAAAGTCCCCCGAACTTCTCCCTTCCCCGCCGCTCCCTCCGGCAGCGCCGCCAGCCCGCCCCGGTGCCGGGAGCCGCTCCCGGGCCAGGGGGGGCTGCTCTGCACGCAGCCTCCGCTGGCCTCAGGGGGGCGACCCCAGCCGTCCCCACTGCCTTACCTTGTGGCGGAACTCTCGGGCAACCCTGCGCTCCATCGTGCGCGGGTGCGGGCGGGGCGGCTGCGCCGGCGAGGCCGCGCCCCGGGGCGGTGGGAGGGACGCGCTCCCGCCGCCGCCTCCCGCATCCTCGGCCTCGCTGCTCCGGGGGTACCATAATCTGCCTGCCGCCCCCGGCTGGGGCCGTTTGCGGCCAAAACGACGGAGAAAGTAAAATTTTTAAAACCCCCCCCCCCCCCCCCCCAAAAAAAAAACCCCACACGTACACGCACGCCCCCGCAGAGCGTTACCTGCTCTTTTCCCTGGAGTGGATTCTACAACCGGTGCTTCTCGTACTGCACGGAGCTCCCAATCCAGACCTGTCTCTTGTATTTGTAGGTATGTATGTATGTCACTATCCCTAGCAGTTAAGAAAAGCACGAAGATGTGAAATTTAAAGCGTACTAACACCTGGATTAAAAAAAACAAAACCCAAACCAAAACAAACCAACCAACCAAAAAAACCCAATCAAGCAAACAAAAAAAAACCACAAAAACCCCACAAAATCCAAACAAAACCCAAGCCCAAGCAAACGGAAAAATCTGCTTCAATAAATGACCATATTGTAAATAACCTGAAATTTTTTTTCTATTTTTTAAAACGTAAGCAGGGTGAATCTAATGTACCACTGTCTGATTTCCACCAGCCTCTCCCACTAACAGAATATTGTTGCTTACAAATAGAGCCTCTGACACGGCCACTGTGAGTAACTGCAGAAGAATCAAGCTCGGAGCACCTGAAAAGGTGACTATTTCAGACTAATCTCTTTTATGTTATTTTGCCCTGGGCTTATTCTACTGTTGTACAAAATTATAGACTTCTGCAATCAGGACTGGAAGCAAGATGAGGACACCTGCTAACGTCCCTTTGTCTCCGTGCACAATCACCTTTACCCATATAACTTCAGAGAGAACAGGGTTTGTTTAAGCACAGGTGGTCTACCTGCTCCTCCTTCCAACAGAATGGAAACTTGTAGGAATACATATAAAGGCATGATAAAAAAAACCCCTACACTGTCAAATACAAACTGAATTCTGTTTTATTATTTCTGTGTGATAATTTTTGTGAGCTATACCAGCTTCTTTAGAAATTGCTCTTACCCCTTTCAGAAGATGGCTTTGCTGTATTGGAACATTTCAAACTTGATGGACACTACTTCTTTCTCATATCAGGTGTCAGGAATAAGGGAGGAATGCATTTTAAGCCTGCATACAAACAAATGCAATTGTTTTCAGAAAACAATTTTCTCTCGAAATTTCAACTACTAGTACATGAATCACATCTCCTACCTGAGTTCCAGTACCACATTATATCAAAAAGCTATTCTATCCAAGCATTAAACACACTGCTATAGGACTTCCCTGCATATGCAAAGCAAAATTGTCTTACATTTGAAAAAAGGAGACACAAGACATCTAAAAGATACATTAAAACCCGTGTACGTGTCCTTTAAATTTAGATATAGACTATAACGGTAGTGATATCTACCAATTGTTTCTAGAAGGCTTTACAAGAATAGATCTTTCACAAGCTTGAAGTCATGTACATTTGAAAGAAAGCAACTGGATTTTACAATACAGATGAACTTTCCAGGAGTCAGAAACTCCTCCATGTAGTAAATGATTGTGGAATAATCTTCACTTGGTGATGTGAAAGGTGCTCTGAACGCTCATGTAAAGGACACACCACAAAAAGGATGACAAACATGATTGGCTGTTGGTCTGCTGTTACATGAATTCCTGTGTTTTACTGTGCATAAATACAAAGGAAACAAATCCACAAAACTATCCCATGCTCCAAAACCGTAAGTTCCATAATCAGTAAATTTAAAACATGGTTCTGAACTCTTCATTACTTCAAATACATAATATTAAAAGATGGTAAAATTATGGCTCTTTATTATTTTTAGATAATGAAATCTTACCTAAGAAGAAATCAAATTGCATCTAAATTGGCTTTAAACTAGTTTCAGTTCTTCTTTGCTAGTTGTGGCATTAAGGGAAAAGGAATAAAAGGAGCAGCCCATTTAGTAGGCAAAGAAATACATTAAAGTGTGTGTTGAGTAACCTGATTCCAGTGGCTTTTTATCTACTTTCTCTACTTCATTAATGTAACATGGACTAGAGGAAGTGCACCAAAGCCAAGTGCATGCAGCACTCAAGAGTAGATGGGTTCTGCTGCAGGCAGAGTCTAGCATATAATTCCAGAAATCTGTTTGTGGTTATTGGGAAGAGGCTGTGTTAAAGAATATCTTTTATTTCTCACTTCCTTTTCTTTCATACGCATTTTCCCTCCAACGCTTACAGGAGAGAACAGAATTCTCAGTGAAAATATTGCTAGTTTTCCATCATTTCATTAGAAATGAAACACTTGTTGCAGCAAGAAACACAATCCACAGGGACAAATTACAAAGGCAGAAAAGAGATCTTTTTAATGACTTACTGTTAACAGACTTCTCAAAGCAGTCAGAAAAGGCCCTTTTTCATCTGAGACAGTTTCTCACCTGGTATGGGCAGCTTCTAAAGCTTCTGACATAAGATATGCAAACCTGAAGAATGATGGGGAGAGAGAGAGCAGCAGATGGGAAAGGGAAAAGAAAAAAGGTAACAGTGATCTGAAGAGGGGAGAGAAAACGAAGAAACATAATGTAAGGAAGCAACTTTAATCACAAGGAAAAGAAAGAGTGAAAAAAGAAGAGGAATAAACATGGAAAAGGCTCCACATTGTGAATTCATACTAATAAAAAAAAATTTTATCAGAAGCTATGAAAACCATCCATACAGGTTAGCTTCATGCTGCATTCAGTTCATGTTTTACTCATGCCTTTCATTACTCTAGTCCTGATACCTGGTTCAATGGGTCGGGGCCAATGCTCCGTGCTGAGCACGGACAACCTTTGCCGTTTCCCACTGGGAGCACGCGGTTCCCCGCGGGCTGGCTGCGCTCGGTCCCTGCGCGTTCCCAGGAGCTCCGGGAGCAGCCCCAGCTCCTCTCGCCCTGGGGTGAGGCGCAGCCTTAAACCGCACCCCACCGCCGGGGTCCCGGCTCCTGCTCAGACACCGGGACACGAATCATTTTCTGAATCACAGAATCATAGAATCAACCGGGTTGGAAAAGACTCTCGAGATCATCAAGTCCAACCCTTGATCCAACACCGCCGTGGTTACTAGACCATGGCCCTAAGTGCCACATCCAGTCTCATCTGGTGAATCCATCACCTCCCTGAGCAGCCCGTTCCAATGTCGGATTACTCTCTCTGTAAAAATTTTTTTCCTAATATTCAACCTAAGCCTCCCCTGGCAGGGAAGCCCAGAAAGGCGGAAAAGTAGAAATTAACTCGAGGAGGCGGCGAGGTCAGCGGCGGCACGGGCGGGCAGGAGAAGGGAGCAGCGATAGCGGGGCCGCTCAGCAGCAGGGACGCAGCCAGCCCCGGGCTGCACAGCGAGGGGCGGTGTCCGGGGTGGGCGCTGGGGAAGGGCAGGGCCGGGGGGCGGAGGACGGGCGGCTGATAAACCCCCAGTCCGCCCCGCCCGGAAGGGCGGGATGAGCTCAAGGCGCAGGTAGCGGCCGGAGCTCCTCGGGAAGTTGTAGCTGCTCTCCAGCCGTCCCGCATGGAGCCCCGGCTCCTGCTCGGGGCGCTGCTGTGCGCCTGGCTGCCGTCGGGTGAGCTCCTGCCGGGCAGGGCGCGGGGATGAGGTGGGATGGGATAGGATGGGAGAGAGGACAGGGCAGTCCTGGCCATCGCTAACCTACCGCCTTTGCCTTCCAGCTTTGTCTCCATGGGGCGCCTGGGCGCAGCTCCCTGCCGACGGGGATGTGCCGCTCCGCAGGTAAGAGCTGGCCAGGGCACAGCGGGGCTCCTTCCCCGCCGCGGTGATGCGCCGCGGGAGGGCCGGGCCGGGTGGGCTGCCCGGGCCAAGCCAACCCTGCCTTGTTCTCTGCCCGCAGCCGAGGCAGTACCGGGGGACCTCGGACAGGAGAGGGCCTCTCCGCGGCGATGCAGGTATGGGGGGAGAGCAGGGCGCTGTGATGGGGCAGCTGGCGGGCGCGGCAGGGCCGGGAGCTGCGGCACCTCCTCGGAGAGGCTGGGATGTGCAGCTGGGATGTGCAGCTTTCCTCCGAGGAGCCCCAGGGAGAGAGCATCGACCGCGATGGGACCAGGGCTGATGAGGTGATGCGGTGCCGTCGCTCCTGGTCCCAGGTGCGCCCGGCGAGACCCCTCTGAGGGGGCAGGTGGCGTCGGATCGAGGGATGGCTGTGCTGGCTGTCATCAGGATAATGTGCTTCTCAAATCTTGCTTGAATGCGTCTGTACATTATTGTGATACTATCAGTATTTCTGGTGGCTGTTCTTTGTAATTCTTAAAGACTTGTCCTCGAATGTGTATTTTATCCCACTCACGAGGAGTGTAATTTATGAATGAAAGAAAACTTGGGTTTTGCAGTGTTTAAGCAATGAGGAAAAACTGCATGGTTGTATCTAGAGCTTCAGCTCCTTCAGAAAGCTGTTTGTTGTAGGAAGCATCCTTGCTCAAGGGAAAGCTGAGGTCTGGTCTGGCTCATCCAGCGACAATTGCTTTGTGGGAGCCTTTTTGCTTTTCAGTAAAAGTAAGTGAGCTGGCAGTATCAGATCACTACAGCTCAGCGCTCAGGTTTTTGGATGTGATTTATCTTGGCAACTCGACTATATCACTCATGGCACGTTGCTGAAATGTAATTAGGGTGTGTGGTTCCTGCTCCCTTGTTTGAGGGTGGGAAAAGGAAAGTTTGCTTTGTTGTCCTTGTTTGTGGCTCCACAGAGGAGTTGCCTTTCTTTCTGCTTTCTTCATGCTCTTTCTGGGAAAAGCTGAGCAAAGAAAAAAATGTCACATAACTGCAAACAGGTAATGAAATCAACCACCAATAACAGCAAATGCTCATAGATTGAGGTTCTCCCCCTAAGAATTCAAGAAATAGCAATAGACTGTTTGTTTCCATCTGTGTTAGCCTACTGAGCAGGAGTCTTCAGTAAGAAATATGTTTGGGTGACTGGAAAAAGAAAAAAGAACTATTGCACTCTTCAGTAGAGTGACTGTACTTTTTATTGCACAATGGAGTTTTTTGATAACGTTGTAGTGAGCAAATATGAAGCAATGAGCTTACTAAAACTGGTAAATTTACTGATAGACTCTGAAGAGATTTTTAAATTTCTTGGTTATAGCTGCTGATTTATTTGTTCTTTCTGAAAGGAGTCTGGAATGGCAATTTATAACACCTCATCTACTACAATGTCCTTATCTCGGACCAGGAGACTTCACAGTATGAAATGTGGACCATCCAGTAAGTTATTTATGTTTCCACATGAAATCTCTTGAACTTTATTTTCTGCATAATTTAATTATTTTTTAGAAAGAAAAAACCCTAAAATAACTAATACAGGTCTTTGTAGTAAAGGAGGTCTGCTCTGATCAATCTCTAAGATCCATAGAAGTGCGATAACTTGTTATGGGGTTTAACGTAGCTTTAAATTTATACCTGGTTCTGGTTTGATCATTTGAAAGACTGTCTCTAACTGCAGTTTTTCTAATAAAAAGCTTTTACTAGGGAAATCTGCTCTTGTAGTGATATACCTAAAAAGGTGGATTGCTGCTGGGTGCCATTAAATTGTCTGCCCAGTACCTTTCCTGTGCTTGGAGTTTTTTTGTTTGCTATGTTTTTGCTGAGGTGATCTATGGATGCTCTTCGTGTGTATAATCTACGGGTTAGCAAGATAGGGTACCTTAGCCACCAGCTTGCAGTGGTGGGTATTTTCTTGAGGAATGTGTGTGTTGGTTTTTTGGTTCGTCTTATTTTCACAAATGAAGTGGACAGGCTTAAAATATCTTTGCTGAAGGGTAAAGATCCTCTGTGTTAACTTTACAGAAAGGTCCATGTTATGCTTGTTCTGTACAGAGGAGAAGTATGAGGCAAAATAATTCCTAGTAGTTTTAGTTAGTGATGTGAAACCTCTAGTTTCTCTTCTGTTAGCCTGATGGATTGCATTGGATATGGGACCTACCTGATAGTGAATAGTGTGGATTTGTACCCCATAGCTTTATAGCACAAAAGGCAAGATGTGTGGAATGGACTCATCAATTGTAGTTAGGGTTGTATTATCTCCAAAAGCTTTTAGTGTCTTTAATACACACTGTTTTCAGAAGCTTCTGAGAAGTGTGCAGCTGGATGTGGAGGAACAGTGCAAGAGTTTAGAGAAACATAGTATTGCTCAAATAAGAACTATTACCTATGAACCTCTCTCCAATATATGAAAAAGTCATATATGTTGCATATGGTAAAGTTGCTTTACGAATATAGCACTCTATACTAGTAAAACTCCCTCTTTTGAGGGTTGCATTTGCTTACTGACCAAGAAGTACTTATGATTTCATTTTTTTAAAAACTAAATAAAGCAGCTTACAAAGAGAAGATAAGCAAATCATGCTGAGAAATTTGCTACCATAATAATAATTTGTTTCCCTGGGTTTATTTTTTTTCTAGTCAAAACTCCTTTAATGGGACTAGTAGATTTCATTTTTTGCTTCAGAGCAACCAACTGGGAAAAAAAAACTTTTAAGATACGTTATGTTACCATTCAAGTGTGCAATAAAACACATGTACATAAACCCTTTGCAAGACTTCTGTTAAAAAACTCTTGCAAAGGTTTATGTGCAAGTTTATTGCCTCTTAAAATAGGCGTTATATTTAAGAAAGGGGAGAAAAAAATTAGAACGAGGGAGAATGAAATGGGTAGGAAATTTCTCATCCTAACTCATCACATGTCTAAGCTTCTAAAGGAGGATGCAATTACAATGGCAAAAAATAGATTTCTTGCTCTCTGCAGATGTAATAGTAGAGCCTTTTTGTTTTTTTCTAACTCGTGTTTCTATGAGGGAAACATATTACGTGTGGATTTTCCATTTCTGATGTACTTGCTTTGGAAAGACAGTGTTGTTGAAGACCTGCTTTAAAAGTTATTAATGATTGCCCATACTTGAAGGCAAATAAAATTAGTCTTATTAAACTTTTTAAACAGTGTAATACCCAGACCTGGAAGTTTCCTTTTTAAATTCCAGTAAACTCTGTGTGGGAAATGGAATCCATTGTTGTCTGTGTGTGAAAGACATTGAAAAACAAAACAAAAGAATAACCTGATCTGCTTCATACAAGAGCTTAGGTATCATGCTCCAAATACTTAGAAAAATAGTTTCATTTTGGCCTCTCCAATATGAAGAGATGCAAGCTGCTATAAATCTGCCCATGGACTGGGATTTGCACCCATTTGAGGATATATGAAATAGTAAAGCTTTTTTTTGTTAAAAAACCAACTCACCAAACACCGAAAAAAACAGAACAAGAAACAAATCCAAAAAAACCTCAAAACAGAACAGCAAGGTAGGCTGTCAGCTGCTCTCCCTAGTTTAGCAATGTCTCTAAGAAAATAATCTTTGAAATAAAACTAGAGTAGAATGAAATATAAGTTCATTATAATCACAGGCAATTCTTGTTGCAAGAATATTTTTTCTTGCTTTCAGTAGCTCTATGGAGATAAACCAACATGTTTTATGTGGAATGAGTGCATGACTTGTGCAATAGATCTCTTTACCTTTGTGTAATATTAGTCAACTGAAAGCAGTTCAGAAAGTGAGATGTGTCTTATCTGTCAATGAAACAAAAAAGTTGCTACAGCACAAACAAATGCCAAGAGATAAATTCTTCTGTTAGTTTCTTCTACCTAGGGAGCATGGCATTTAAAATGTTTATCATAATAATTGACAAACACATAGTTTACATAGCTATTAAACTTTTAACGTTTTTTGGCACAAACCTGTTTTTTGCGCAAAGTTAAAAAACAATAAATGAAGTGAAAAAACCAAACAGAAAACTGCAGGGCTAATATATAAGCATATAAAGAACCTGGGACAGGCAAAACAAATCATTTGTGGAAGTATTCAAACTACTGCTGAGAATTTATAATATGTTAAACACTTCAAATTTCTTGTGTTGAAATGCTGTAGCAGGCAGGAGTCACTGTTACTATAGAAGATACTTGTCCCTTACAATGTGTGCTTGAAGACTGATTTGAGGAGATGCACAGGAGCAGAACATCTGCAGCTAACTGGAAGGGTCTTGGAATTGAAAGGTTAAAATTGCATCCTACTCATTCGCCTCAGAATCTTGAAGAAAATTTTAGATCCTAGTGTAGCCCAGGGCTGTATTGCATCCTGTGGAAGCATGTGCCATCTGCCTGCCATTGCAGGCAGATATTGCAGGCAGATGCTTTCACAGACTATGAATTTGAAAGGCAAAAGATAATGCAAGAAATACTTGCTGTGTTATTTCTCCACAATCAAAGGCAGTGGAAAGCTCTCAATGAAAGATTGCACCTAGAGAAAGTATGTGATGGAAATTATGTAGAGTTACAAAACATAAAATTTACAGAATGTTGACACCAAAAATTTAAATATTCCATTTTAAGCATAACTTTACTTTTTTTTTAATGTGTGACTCTAGGTCTAACGTAAGCTTCTTGAAAATTCTTATCCTGATCTGCTTTTCTTTTTCACTTTTCCATTTCAGAATAAAATTAAATTTTTGATTAATTGATCATTTTAGTACTTTACCTTCAGACAACCCTCCCTTCTACACTTGCATGGAATTTTAAAGTATGTCATTTTTTAAAGAATCCTGAAAAATATTTCTTTTTCTATTTGTCTATTTCTGTAAATGACTCTCTGGGGCTCTAAAACTGTTTGGGTCAAAGTTGGTGTATAGGCACAATCATATGAACTGAGGGCATAGGTTGGACCTTGTATTTACCTTGCTTAAGTAAAACTTTATCACTTTCAGATCTCTAAATTAGTCTTTCATACTTAAACTTTTCTGTCCAAGTGAATCTAGTAATCGATATCCTGAGGAGAAACCTGTTTCTATTGTTTTGCATTAAACTATTTTTTTTTCATACTGTGTCTTAAAAAACAGTAACAAAACACAGAATTTCAACACTAGTAAGTACTTAATGTTTTACAGAAAAATAACCTATAGGAAAGTCCACCTCAGCCACAACTCTTCAAGAATTAGGTGTGCTGGTGATAAAGGTGTATTACAGTGAGGTCAAAACTGAGTTGGAGCATCTGTATTCACATGATGGTTAAAGCAAAATCAACTATTTCAAAGTTGATGTGCATGGTAATCTCAGTAGTCAGTTGTCTTCTTGAATGAAAGTGCAATAGATGTCTCTTTGATTTAGTATCTTTTGTGTGGAATACATATACATGCTTGCTTTGCAGTTAGATCTTTGTGCTCTGAGGGGTGAGAGTGGTTCTTTAGTGACTGTATCTCACTTCATGCTGAAGGGCTTCACACTATATTACTCTGAGCTGTGCTTATTTTATTCTTCATAGACATTAGATCAGAAGAATAAATCATGGATAAGCAAGCCAGGACTTAGAGTTCATTTGCAACTGAAATAAATTCAAGAGGTCTTAAGTACTCGTTAGAGAAGAAGTAATGCAAGAAAGTAAAGTAAACTGTGTGCACAATATCATAGATACAATATATGTATCTGTAATAATATTTCAAAATAAATGTGTATTTTGATGAAGATGCAAGATGGCTTTGGACAGTTTTCCTGATGCTCCTAAAGCATGTCACTTCAGAGAACATAAGCAGTAGTCACTTGTGTGAAGGTGGACACTAATCTCCAGAAACCCTTTCAGTGAAGTGCAAACAGCCTAGATTACAGTCACACTTTTTCAAAGGCTCTGATAAATAATGGATTTAAGATCCAGCTACTGCTTCTAGAGCGGCAGCACTGGCCTCAAGGCTCTTACTGCCTGACACTGAAGAATTTAAAAGGAGGATGAACTGAAAAGGAGGTTCATGCACCCAAGGGACTAATATAACCCTATGTGCATATTGTGCAGCCTATTCAGTAATTACCAGATGATTAGAATATTTAAGCTGTGAGGAGAGAGAAGAATTCAGGCCTGTGTTACGAGATGATCCTGCTCAATAAAGAGGGAATTTGGGATGAGCAGCTTCATGACTGCAGTGGTCATATTCTGCAGGTTGTAGTGGCAACAGGTTAGAAATCCCTTAATTACCTATGTGAGTCAAATCATATTACTTAGACCTACCATTTTCTGCTAGAAAAGTCTCACAAGTTTTCAGTTTCAGATTCCAACCCAATGCGCTCAACTGGCATAATGTCAAAGGGGAAAGAGGAGCTGAGAACTTTTTAGTTGGTGTCACTTTCAGGTAAATGAAAGCCACAATATTCTTCCATAACTTTTCCCAGTTCTAGTTTTCATTTAGTCTTGATGTTTTTTCCTTTTCTGCAGATATTAAAATGTTTCTCACATCTCTGGGGCAGACATGACTTAACCTTTCCATAAACTTTTCCATTTGATGTGGTCATATGGGTTAGCTTGTTTAGGGAGCTTATATTCCTTTAGTGACAAAGATCAGAATTCGTTCCTGATATCCTAGGAAGTATTTCTGTGTTAATTGAGTGGAGTTATATGATTCAAGGAGGCCACTTTGTTTACAGTAGCACTAAATGTGATCTGAAACAATGCTGCTTTTCTCAGTACGTGTCTAAGGATAACTATTATTTGCACACACAGCTCTTCTATGCAGTGTAAGGAAACATACTTTACAGTGATGTAAACAGGGATATAAAGAAATACAAGAGCTATGATTATCATATTTTCTTAGAATCTTACATACTCAGAAGAAAACTTCGTAAAGAAGAAAACACTCATCACTGAGTCATTTCACCTCTAATTCAGATTTAACTCCCTTTCTCTCTAAAAGAGAACCAGGGAGATCCTTCCTGATGACAACAAGGGCCCCCAGGCCAGCTGACTGCGTTCACAATCTGAATATACATGGCTTGAAGCAGGTTACCTGAGCCACACTTAGAGGGGAATCATTCAACCTGAAACATCAAAAGGGGGCTAACTTCCTCTAGAGCCAAGAGGAACATGACTTGCAGTCTAATTGCACATTATTGTAACTGGACAGGCAATAGGGCAGAATCTTAGAGAAGCAAAGAATGGAGGCCTGAGCTCTGGTTACTCAAGTCTCACAATGCTCAAGATGAAAGAGCAGAATGTCTGCCTCTCTTGACAAGAGGAACAAGGCTTTTGCATTATTGACAAGATTGGTCACTGTGAGTATGTAAATGAGACTGCTCAGTCAGAGTAAGTAGGAACCTTTCTACATGCTGCTTACATTAGTTTTTATTGAACTTGGGCTGGCCAGGCAGGGAAAGGAGCATTGCCTTTTGCTTTGTCTACCTGCTTTGTTCTTTTCAGCATGACCTCTAGTTTTTTTAGTTTTTTTTTTGTGTGTTTTTTTTTTTTTTTTTTTTTTTCCCAGTGTATATGTGGGGTGCATATTGAAAACAAAGGTATGAAAATTAATTGTTTGGATATTTTTCAAGTCTTCAAGTAACTCATTAGTGTTTTTAAGATGATTGCAAATGGAAATAGCACTAATGAAATGTACTGTCAAATTTTGTCGGAACTTAGTAAGGGTTCTGTAAACTTGTAACTGAAGATAGTATTTTGTAAAAATCACATGGCTTTAAGTAGATGAACACGTAAGCTTTTTTCTTTAATTATATTTTGCTGTAATATTCTTGATGTCTTCCTCATTCTAACATTATGGTATTTAGCATGGCGTAATGATAATGTCTTGAAATTGGAAGAGAGTAGGTTTAGATTAGATATTAAGATGAAATTCTTTACTGTGAGGATGGTGAGGTACTGGAACAGGTTGCCCAGGGAAGTTGTGGATGCCCCATCCCTGGAAGTGCCAGGGATCCCTTCAAGGCCAGGCTGGATGGGGCTTTGAGTGACCTGGTCTAGTGCAAGGTGTGCTTGCCTATGGCAGGGGGGATTGGAATAGATGATCTTAAAGGTCCCTTCTAATGCAAACCATTCTATGGTTCTATGATTATTTTTCAAGAATGATGTGTTTATAAAGATAAAGAAAAGAGGGTTGAGTCTTTAGTTTGTCTCTTCCTGAAACAGTTTCTTCTGAGCAACTTGTCTGCAGCAAATGCAATCTCAATTTGTGTTCTAAAGTGCAAAAATTACGTAATTATATAATAGGCAATTATTAAAATTCAAATCCTTTCCTAAAAAAACTTTATAAGAACAAGTATTAGCAAAATAAGTGAATAGATCACAATTGTTAAAAAAAGATTCAAGCACAAAGTTTGAATTTAGTAGCAAGAAACTTTATTTCTGCTTGTGCACATCGTTCCTTAAACTGTGAGAACTTGTTTGGTCATATTTTGATGGGGATCTTCCCAGGGAAAATAAACAACCCAGCACCTTCCTGCCCCAAGCCCAAACCTGTCAAGTTGCAAGTCAGGGATCTGTGTCTTTATGGAAAGTGTTTGTGTTTCGTATAGTTAGAAGCTGCAAGACACAAGGAGGACAGGCAGGTGAAAGATATACAGCTGGCATCTGAACATTTGTATTTCTAATGTATTGTGTTTGCTCTCATCCTGGCAGAGCTTACCCATAGAGTGTTACTAGTATAAGTAAGGATATAGGCACTCTGCGCTTTTTTGTGCAGTACTTGTTCACTTCATCTATTCATCGCTTAGGGGACTGAAAACATGTCAGACTAACACACGGAACAGTCATTTTTATTTGACTTCTCTGCATCTGTAATGTATTTGCTAAACTGGCTGTCTGTTTTGAGGTAAAACTTTTGCAGTATTTTTCCTTTTTGTGGAGGCCAGTTGGATTCTCCAGGACCCTTTAATGCTAAGTCAACCTCTCCTGTCATTCATCTAGTGAATTTTAGCTTTGGTGAAAGCACTGGGTCTTAAGATAGAAAATGATCATAATTTATTTTTAATATGCCTTGGTTTTTTTCCACTCAGATTCGTTTACATGTTTTAATGGAGGTGAGTGTGTCTACAGGGAGCTGTGCAACTGCAGTCGGTTTAATGCAACTGGACCGAGATGCCAGACAGGTGTGTAAAAAGAGAAAACAAACTGCAATTCTGAGATTGCACTTGGGTTCCCACAGCTACAAGAATGACTACCCTCTGCCTAAAGATTCCTTTGTGCTCTAGCGTTTTTCCCTCTGATTCTATTCGGAGTGATAATATTTCACAGCATGCCACATATACTGTGCCATGTCAACTAGAGTATGAATAAAAAAAAAACCCAGTGCTATGTCTAAAGTGACTCTCCCTTTGTTAGTGTATAACACAGGTGCTGAAAGAGATCATATATGCAGAACATGGGGCCAGTATAATTTTGAAACTTTTGATGGACTCTATTATTATTTTTCTGGGAAATCTTCATACGCACTTGTGAGACATGCTGAAGTAGATGAACAGAGCTTCTCCATACAGGTAGGGAACCATGCTTCTACATTCCTTTTAAATGTTATTGGACATGCTAATGATGTATTAATTTTAAGAGATTAAAAATTACTTGAGATGATACTATGGGGTTGTAGAATGTAAGGTAGATGTAATTCTAACGTGTTGTGGGCTGCCAGTTACCACAGCACACAATATAAACAACTGGAATAAAACTGATGTGTGTACTGCCAAAGCTTGCTTTGTTTGCACAAAGCTGTGAAAAAAACATCACTCAGTTTTTTGTGCTAAAGTGGGACCAAACTACTTGTTCACTGCTGAGTGTGGGATTGGGTATTAGTTGTGTGACATGCATATTACAAAGAATTTGATTAAAAACTTGACTTTGACACTAGTGTTTTTATTTGGCAGGTGAATAATGATCCTGAATGCCGTTCTTCTCCTTATTCCTGCAAAAGGTCCATTAGTTTATTCTTTTCTGGAGATGAACAGATAAAGATGAGCAGTGAAGTCACCTATAAAGGCTTTGGGTAATTCCAGTCATGTTTCTGATGCTGTAGTTACATTAGAATTAAGGTCATGGTAACATTTTGATAGCAAAGATGTAAACTTATTTGTTGGTAGCTTGAAAAAGTATCCAGATCACAAATGCAATAATTACTTCTCATCTACAGAGTGGTGTCTGAGGAAGGTGATACCTGAATTGGTGGTATACAGTATTAAGAAATATAACCACTGACGTTCATACTTTGATTTTTGCTGTTATTTGCAACTTCATTTGGTTTAGTGGAGTTAGTCAGTATTTACATCAGGAATTTTCAGATGCATGAGGAAGTCATTACATCAGCAAATAATTTATTTTTAATGGTTATATTTTCTAATGTAATGTTGTTTTTGATTCTGTGTCATTTCAGAGTACGATTACCTTATATTATTGGAAACTTACACATCCAGAAACTAGCTGGATACTTCCTAGTCAGGCACCAGTATGCCTTTACTCTGGCATGGGATGGTACATCTGCAGTGTATATCAAAATGGCACCAGAGTACTTGGGCAAAACACATGGACTGTGTGGAAACAATAATGCTGTTCTGCAGGATGACCTTGAAACTAGTTATGGTGAGTATTTAAGATGCTTCCTGTTGTATAATATGTGTGGGTTTTTTTCAGGTGAAATAAATGTTACTTTGCTTAGTTTTTAATTTTAATGCTAAGTGAATTTAGGATGAATTTTGTAATGGAAAATACAATGTGGAAATGCTTTTGGTAGATGATACTGTTAGTGAAGAGGACCAGTTTCAATACAGTTGGGGCTCTGGGGAGGAACATCTTAAAAAAGCTGTCTTGCTCAATTACCTGCAATGGCATTTGTACTTCAGTTTCCTGGGACCTGAGAGGTAAAATCTGGTTTTAAATGTTCGCTGTTCTCAGCAATTGTGCAGCCTGTGGAAGCCTGAGATATTGATATTGGAAATAAATCAATAATTACTAAATCAAATAAATGAAAACTGTCAAATCCTGTTTGATCTGGCATTTCATTTATGATAACACTCTCAGAATTGACTAGTGATCCTTCATTATTAACTTTAGACACTTCCAAGAGTCTTGGGTTTCAGTAAATACTGAGTGAAGACCTCAATAAAATAAACAGGGAAAAAAAAAACCAGGTCTCTTGAAAGGTATTTCAAGTTAGGCTATAAAAACTTCTGGAAATCATTGCTTTGGGCTGTTTAGCTCTTTGCTCCCCTTTAAGATTAGGGTGTTTCTGTAGAGTTCTACTCCAAAACTCAGAGTAGATGTGCTAGGTTTCCTCTGTTGTTTGTACATGCCACTCAGTTTCACAAGTCAATACACTACATATGAGCTTCATCCAGTTAGCTTTGGGAGCAGTTGCCATGAAGATATGGCAAGACATGCATTTGTGGGTAATCCAAACAGTAATCAGTGCCACCACTTGTCTATGATGGATGATAGTAATAATGATTAGCTAGTTTCACTCTCGCATAAGTAGAAATGTCCATGCTAAAGTGTCACACCCTGCTTGGCTAATGCAGACAGTCATTTTGAACTATTTCAGTGGCCCATGAGTGCCTCATCTTTCTTGGGTTTTACACTCTCTGTTAGGAGTTTCATATAAAATAGAAGCATAGACCTATATATATACAGTTTATTAAAGCTCTTTTTTTTTTTTCAATTGATGGACTAAGGGAGGCACAGCCCTCCTCACTTAAAGCCCTTCCTTGCCAAATTGCCTGAGTAAGCTGCCTTCTGCTATTCTAAAACCCCTTCTGTAGTTCCTTTTAAAAGTATTTTTTGCTTCTTGGAAGTACCAGATCGATTTCAGCTGATTCACTTAGTAGTGGGAAGGGTTGGGTGTTCTCTTCTTAATGTGTTTTGATTACTGAGATGTTTCCCTGGGAAATCCTATAGAAACGCTGTTGTTCTTCCAAGTCACTGTGTGACTGTATTTGTTTGTCTTGTTTAGGAAAACTGACAGATGATGTAACTGAATTTGTAGAGAGTTGGCAGGAAAATCCTCCACAAGGAACACCCAACTGGGATAGATCTCTTCTCAATGAACCACCATGCCTGACACAAACCCATCAATCTCTACAGGTTTGGATCAACACAAAAACATTATTACAATAGTTGGTGATTCTAATTAGAGCAATAATTTGACTTAATGCTTTGAAGGAGACTGGAAATACTCAATCTCTCTGGAAATATTCAAAGCTCTTTGGAGACATGAATTAAAATGATTGCTGCAGCAGATCTTCTCATCGTCTCATCCTGCCTCCCCCCTTCTGTATTTCTTGATCTTTTCAAATATATTGTCTGCATAGCAGCCAATAAAAGTGTTTGAATATGAGTGAAAAGTTGTAAAATACAGTCGTGTTCTAGAACTAGTTCCCGTTTCTTCCCTTAGGAAGCATAGAAAGAAGCAGGGACTCAAAACTAGAATGAGTTAATATGTCAGTGTTTAAAAATGAATTATTGTTACTTTTGTCCATAACCCTGAAGTAATTTTTCCTTCTAAGTAGTATTTTCAGGATATAACCCTTAGATGAAGTGCTTTTGAAACTAAAGCTGATGACAAGCATGGTTTATTTCTGTTGCCTGTTACTGTGTAATTTAATTAAAATGAAGACCTTTTTCAGGTTATTTTGGCTTAGTTGTAGTTTCCTTGGGGAAGGAATATGTTTTACTTCACTGGTATGATACTGGTTATGGATACTCTGGCACGTAGAGCAATATGTTGCTAGACACTGCTTCTAGCTGGTGAGAGGAAAGTGATTCCTAGCCACAGATGTCTGTTGTGATTTTCTGTAATATTCTATAATATTCATCTTATGTTTATTTTTTACAAACTTCACAACAACTGTCTCTTTCATTTCAGAGGACATATGCTCTGTGTAATATCCTGTTACATCCCCCATTTAAACAATGTCATGAATATGTGAGTCCTCTTTCTTTTATGGCAAGCTGCACAAATGATCTTTGCATGTAAGTGAATGTTTTGGTAACAAAGCTGTTATAAAAAGAAAGTCCTTCTATCATAAGAATGAATTGTAAATGTTAGCGAAACTGATTTGTGTCTTTTTCTGCATATTTGTTTCTATCTAACATTATTATTTTGTCTTTGCTCATTTGTTCTAGTTTTACTGCAGTGAAACACTGTGGAGTTCCTATTTTCTTTGATATAAGGGTGACCAAAGTCAGGCTGTGATATCTTCATAATTTGTTAATGTATCTCCTGTGAATATGGCATCTGTTTTGATTCTGAGCGTGCAACATCCTTAGTATTAGTATAGTATTAATGGCCAGTCTTCGCGAGCGAAGATTTGGGAAAGGTCATTAACCCTTCCAGCCTGCGCAGTGGATTTTTTAGGTGAGACACAGCGTGCGCTGAACTGAGCCCACCCTTTAGTCCTGAGGTTCATCTGCCGGGGCCAAGCAAAGCTTGGACAGTGGCAGTGAGGTCCCCAGGATGTAGGTTTGTTTAGAGTGACCTTCTCTTAGGTGGATTGTGAAGTGACAGTGGCATTGAGGTCCCCTGTTTGTGACCTTCTCTTAGGTGGATTGCCTTCCACGGCTGACGAGCTCCACCTGCCCAGGGGCCCGGGAATCGAACCCGGGTCACAGCGGTGAGAGTCAGACACTCTAACCACTAGACCACCAGAGGCCCCTAGTATAGTATTACTATAATGAAAAGTAATAGTGAAAAGGTCATTTTTGGCATCTGCAAGCCATATGGTAATCCGTTGTAAAGAGAAATTTGATTACTATTTGAACTTATGCTAACATATCATAATCTGCTATGCTCCTTGCCCAAGCAGTTTCTACCAGTTAAATCAACAGGCAGGACAGAAGGTAATTTCCATTTGCAGTACCACTATGACTCACTGTTGGAAATCTTACACTTTCTTGTGAATTTTCTGCAGGGTGTTAGCCCTTTAATAAAACTCAAGACCTTTATTCAAGTCTGTTAATACTGCTGTAGGTCTGTCTTTCATGGATTTATTCAAGAAATTAGTGTGAGGTCTCAAATATATTGATATTCATATTGGTGATGTGTCTTCAAGTGTGGCAAAATGTCTAATCCATTAAAGACTTTTAACCTAGACTAGCAGCACAGTACAATTTTCAAGTAGGTTCAAACAAGATGGTTGTATGCAGTGCAGGAGCATTCATGAGGTTATAATTGCATGTTTGAATGTAGGTAGAAAATAATATGCCAGTTTTTATTTGTGTAAGGTCAGCAGTTGATAATGCAACTTGGTGTCGAGCACTAACTGAATATGCCAGAGCATGTGCCCAAGCAGGAAAGCCACTTCATGGATGGCGTGTGCACTTTGAGCAGTGTGGTACGTAGATGCTTTCGTACTTGGAAGCGCTGCTTATCGGCTGTATTTTAAAAAGGATGCTCTTCATAGTTGTACTTTATTGTCCTTCCTCTTATTTTGGATTCATATAGCTCTTAATGAAACTGTTGAGTGAATGAAACTCCTTCAAGGCTACATAAATGAGATGGGATTTCTCTTTCATGTGTATAATTTGTACTGAATGTATTTAAAGTACTAAGCTTATTACAATGTGATTTAAGAGCCTTCTTACTAAATGAGATATTTTTAAAGATGATTAACCATTTTTATTTTCATAGAGCTACTCTTTCAAATGTCCAAATCTTCATGACTTTCTGATATGTGTATCATGAGTCTTAAAAATAAATTTAAATTACACTTGCATAAGTCTTCATTATATAAGTCACTTAAAGTAAGTTTGAAAGAGATTATGTAATTTGTTCACCTGCCTGTAACGCAGGATCCAGACTGCCTTGTCATCCTGGACAGATTTCCCCTATGATTCCAAAAATCTCTGTTAATGGATGTTCTGACTGTGATGGTCTGAGTATCTGAATAGCTCTGCTGTGAGAAAATTTCTGAGTCTCCCTTGGTGTAATTTAAGATTATTCCTTCTTAAAGCACCTTTAATGGACAAAATGTGAATATATATAAGTATGTATCAATTCCGTGAGTGTGTGTGTTATGAAAGCCATTTTTCTAGACAACAGATACTCAATTGACTTGCCAAAAAGTAAATACCTGAAAGAAACATGAGCAATCTATTTAAGCCCTGAGGCATTACCACAATACCTTTTCTCTACCTGTTTCTATTTTTTAGTCATTACCTGTGCTGAACCCTTGACCTACAATGAATGCATCAACTGCTGTCCTGTTTCATGTCATCACCAATCACAGTGCATTGACAGTGAGCTTTCCTGTGTTGATGGATGCTACTGTCCAGATGGTAAGTTTTGCTTCTCAAATACGTATTGTTTAATTCCATGTAATTTTGAGGTTGTTCTTCCCCAGGTTTATGTCTCTATATGGCCTGACTAGATTAAAGCATTCCCAGGAGCTCTTTATAAATGAAGTGCCAGTGGTGTGTGGATGAATGACCTTATTTTCCTTACTGACAACAGCCCTTTCCTCCTTCTAACAAGTAGCAATAGATTTCAGCACAGGTGCACATTCTAGCTGTACAGACCCACAATTTGAATGAAAAATGGTGTTTGCTCTCTTGTTACGGGACAGCCATCCTCCTGATTGTGGTGGTTGCTGCTTGGTTTTTGAGGAGAGGGAGGATTATTTTGGTGGGTTGAGTTTTGGGTTTGTTTTGTTTGCTTGTTGTTTTTTGGTGTTTTTTTCTGCATTTTTTTCCTGAAGACTGCCTGCAAGGTTACAGAGCTTAGGAGAGCTCCAAAACATGCCATAAGTAAAACTCATCCATGTGGCCATAAACAGGTTTTCATACTGAGGTTCTTACACTGTTGTATGGTTCTGGCATGTGACATATTTACAGTGTGGCCTATAGCAAAACTTTACCCTCTTCACCAAAATAGACATTGATGTCCAGTTTTCCTCTAGTTACTGGCTTCTCTTGGGTACATAATTCTATATAAAAGAGGATAGAGGAAGTTATGCCATGGATCTTCAAGTCATGCCTCTTATATGTACCCTGATTATTTATAAGTTTAATCATCTTTATTATTTATTAATCATTTTACTTTTTATGGGTTGTAAAGCCTTTTAGCTTCTGGCTCTCTAATAACAAAATAATAAACCAACCAGAAAACACCAAAGCAAAAACCTCTTTCAGTAAAATAAGGACCTTAAAACAGGCAAGGATTTGTAAATGTGTTTAAAAAATAAGCCAAAGGTACTCAAAGAAGTGTGGCTTGTGTATTTAGTTTTGGGGGTTTTTTTTGTGTGTTGTTTCCTCTCCCTCTCACCCAGTATTAAATATTTATTATTGATACTATATTTAGTGTATCTCAGGCAATTTAGTGATTTGGTCCATGTAATATAATTTATTAAATATAATTCAAATGCACCTTTTTTTTGGTGACAGTTACTAACTACTAGTCTAGAGTATATTAACATACAAGACTATTTGTGTTGTTCTTGCATATACTTAGTAGTACTCTGTCAGTCATTTGTAGGGGTATTTCTCTTTTTTTCTTGTTTTTTATTTATTCTAGGCTTAATTTATGAAAATGAATTGTGTGTCAAACCTATGGACTGTCCTTGTGACTACCATGGAAGTTTCTTTGAAATGGGTTCGGTGGTTTATGAGGAATGTAATAACTGGTGAGTAGTTTTGCTTTTTATGCTGTGGACTTCATCCTTTTGTGGTCGTAAGAGACAACTTCTTCAAGGCCTATTTCAGTTGGACACAACAAGCCTAATGTAAATGTGACACTAAGCTGATGTTTTTGAGAATTTCTAAGGTAATTTTATACATTTGAAAGAAAAATCCATAGGAGAGAAAGTGCCTTTCATTGGATCACCTTTATTGAAGAAAATGGATGAGCTTGCAGATGCACTTCTTTTTTTTCCACAAGAATTCTATTTTTAAGTCATAGGATTCAAATTGCTTGTGTTTTTTCTTCTCAGTTTTACTACTTCTTAACTTTTTTAATGGTTATTAAAGAGCTAAAAAGAAATGAAAGTGTTACTGGATGCATGGATGAAATTTCAGCTTATTGTATCTTCATGACAAGTTCTTGCCACAGCTTTCAGGCATTCTAATGACTGTGATATCTCTTTTGTAAGATGCAAGACACTTCATGCTCATTTCACAGAGAAGGAATCCAAGAAGAACAACTGAGAGACAACTGTATGTAATTCACAAAATAAAAGTATGAAACCTTTTTGTTTTGATTTCAGCACCTGCATTGGAGGAAAGTGGATCTGTACAAATCTTACGTGTCCGGGTATGTGAAAGTCTTGAATACTTACCTTTTTGATAACTGAATTCTTCAGGTAAAATATTATGATATTTCACTACATAATTTGCATTTTATTTCCATCTACATATAAATGCATCTACAGACTAAGTAGATTAAATATTAAAATGATCTAAATAGCAGGCATCTGCCTTCCAGCTTAGTGCAGCCCATACATCACCATAATGTCTCTGGTAGATGACACTACCTGGTCATTTATTTTCTTCAACCAAATTTTCCACTGCAACCCTCACTTGACATCATTACGGCAAGTTTATTTTACTCAGTGTTGCTGGCTTACCAGTTAACAGTGGGAGTGCTTAATGTTTCTGAAAATCAGTTTTAAGAGCCACAAATCAAATACCCACAATGTAATGGATTATGCATATTTTTGCTTCTTCTTGGGGGAAGAGATGTTGAGGTATCCCAGCCAGGCATCAGGTACAAACCCCATTACAAAAGCAAGGATAAGGTTCAGCTCTTTAACTATGTTCCTAGTGCCTGGTTGTAATATGAATATAATTTAATAAATTATAGAATATTATCACAGTGTATAAACCCTACAGCAGTAGTACTTGTTGAGAGTGCACTGTCTTTGCTGAGTACTTAAATGCATTACTTATTGTGTTTGTCAGCTGAATGCTCGGTTTCAGGGGACACTCATTTCACGACCTTTGATGGGCGCAAATACACTTTCCAAGCTCCCTGCCAGTACATTCTTGCCAAGAGCCGTACGTCTGGAGCATTTACCGTATCCTTGCAAAATGCTCCTTGTGGACAGGTAAGTCTTAGAATTTTCTTATAGTGTTTATATCTTCAAGCGTCTATTATTTTGTGGAAAAAGCATTAAAAAAAAAAAAGGCAAACGAGCTACGTGCAACTGCGTGTAATAAATAGTAGCAACAACTTTCTGTAATGATGTAGTTGGACAGCAACAGAGCAGAGAAAGTCTGTACATAAATTCTCATGTTTGCTTGGGACAATAGGAAAGATTATACCAGTGTTCTGATTCACTGTTCACTGAGGTCATTCAATAACATGTGGGGGTTTGTGCAGCACACCCTGGATGATGACTTCTTTTCTTGAACTTTCTGAGTACATCTTTTTGAACTTGCAGCCAGCACAAAGACTACTGCTTATTATTGCTTGAAGGAAGTATGGCTTTATGTCTTCAATATAGATTTCTCTTTTGTCTTTGTTCTTGCAACTTGAAATTTGCTTTTACTTATGTTGATATGAAAACATTTGGTTAGGTTTTTGGTCAGCTCTCTCAGATTTGTTTATGTAAATGCATTTGTCTTACTGTTGCTAAGCTGGTAGCCTTCACAGTTGTTTTTAACCAAACATCCACGTGTGTGTAGGTAGCTGATACTAACAGTGCTACTAAAGGTGTTATTAAGGGTGCTCCTACTTTATATTTGAAGGTTTCTGGTACTGTACACAGAAATTGCCAAATGTTTCATCTGCCTTATATCCAAGACCCGTTCTCTTTCCTTTGTTGTGTATGTGGATTTCTGAGCATGTATTATAAAGCTATGTGTGATGTATGGAACACTGGTAAGATTTTTGACTATATTTTCATTACAGTCTTGATAGGATGAGAAGCATAGTTGACTGAGTTGAGCCGTTTTATGGAATCAGGCTTTTCTCACTGGCTGAGTTCTACATGTGTTTGTAAGGGCAGAATTTGGCCCACATTTGTGTTAGGGTCATGATGCCAATGTGGATGCCTGCTTACTAAGTTGCTGGACTTGCAGCAGGGAAAAGATTTTGTATCTTGGCCAAATTTCTCTTCTGTCTCTAATGGTCTTCTGTAATGATTTTTACTTAAAAACAACTGTACAGGTATTTGAAGTGTTTATCACCTTAAACATAACACTGCTGTAATTCTAGACCACCTACTTACTATATGTTAGGCCTATATTGTTACATAATTCACATAAAATCAGATTTAGTGCTATTACTTTGTACTTCTGTGGAGGTAGCTACTTATGTTTCATTGTATTAATTTTCTTTTGTGTTCTAAATAAATATATGATCCTGCAAGTCCTTTTACATTAATGATTGTAGTCACTCTTCTCTGCAGCTTATATTGTTCATGCACTTGAGATTTCCTTGGGAAGAAAAATGGTTATATAAGTTGTCATGCTACACTTTCTAAAGGCACATTGCACTAAATCCTACTTCTCTGTATGACAGAAAATACATTTAAGCAGAAAGAATTCTTATTGAAAGTGGCAGTGGCAAGTTTTTTATAATAGAAATTATGTATTTGCGATCCAGGTAAGAGATCGGAGACTGAGTGCAGGGAATCCCCTCATCTCAGTGATAAAAGTTGAGAGGCAAGAAAAATAACTTAACTGGATAGAGACGAAATATATTTTACAACTAGATGATCCTCAAGTAAATGTCTCTTCTATGGTTCCTAGGAGAAGTGTCTAAAGACACCAGGTGAGGTATGTGACAGGGCTTAGAAGTTACCACTGTTGAAAAAGTGGCTTCTTGTGTTGCAAATACAGCTGCTTTAAAATGCTCTAATAGCCTCTAGCTCTTTGAGGTAGAAGCATTACAGTGGGGGCTGTGAAATGAGATCTTGGCAAGGACATGCACATTAAAAGAACTTCTAGGCTTTAACCTCTGCGTGCTTTGTTCTTTGGATTGGGAAGAATCTAGTGATCCTGCTAATATTTCCTGCTTATGGGAAGATTGAGAGTGTTTCAAGATACAATATATTATTGGCTTTTACTACGTGTGGGGCTTCATACTTCACTTAACCTTTAACAAAGGTAACCTGATCAGTCCCTAATAGCTATAGGCCTTTACAGAGGTTTGAGTGAGGCATTCTGGATGTTAACAGTCAGATGAGTGGTCAGAGGATTACGTGATATATTCCAGGGCTAACTTAGTTATCAGTGTACAAGTGGTAAAAGGGTAGTGAGAACAGTTTGTGTAGTATAAGGCAAGAATGTGGGTTTTTTTTCAGTGCAGCTATTCGAGTGTTTAATTATCAACTAGCTGGTACCACTTGGCAGAAGAGTGCTTTTCAGTTCCCCAGGCACCGTCCATTATCTTTTTTTCCCATTTATAAAAATTAATGAATTGAAATGGGAAGCTAAAAGATTTGTAATGTGGAATCTCATATTTCTTCATGGTTTGAGATTTTATGTGCTTCTTTAAAAAAGCCTTATCACTCCCATCTTATTCAAGCAGATTAAAAAATGTGGAAAGAAAATACCTGGCGAGATTTTAGCTTTCTGAATCACAAAGAATCCAGTCATCTGAAGCCTTAGAGCTGGTGACATAAGCAGTCATCAGGCAACAAGTTATTTGAAAACGATGTGGAATTTTGTTTAAGCACTTTTTGGAAGGAGAATCAGTCAAATGATCAGCACAGCTTAACCTTATCTGAGTTTCAGGTGACAACCTCGCTGGCTTTGTAGTTTGTATGATGAGAAGGTCTTCTGAATATAGATTTTTTTTTTTTTTTTAAAGTGTCTAGCGAGAGAAATGGCCATTCCTGTGAAAACACCTGCTGAAAGCTGGCAGGGGCAGTGCTGTGAAAGAAACAGTTCATTGGAACAGAGAACAATTGTCAGGCTGAATTTCTCCTTCAGTTTCAGCACGAAGGAATAATAAAGCTTTTGTCGATATCCTGTACTAATGTATATACCATGGAGGGTTCTTTTCTTGGCTCTGGTCTCCTATGCATGTCACCTGCCGTTCTTTTATCTTCAGCTTCTTAAAAAGCCAACAGTGTCATCAGTTTATAGCCATTGTTTCCAAATGAAATGCACAGAAACCTAATTTCTTAAGTAAAGAGGCAAGACAGCAAGATATGTTACAAGGCTTGACTTCACAAGGCAGATGTCTGTCTTCACTGTCAGTCCAGAGGAGCTGGTTGAGCTGATGAAGTATCTCTAGTTATTTTTATAATTTGCTATTTTCATTTGCTAGTTTCATTTTATCATTTCAGCTGTTGGTGAAAGATCACTATTGAATTAGTCTCTAGAGACAGGGAAATTCTGCATGTGTTTTTTAATCTTTGCATACTACTGTGTGTATTTATGTGTCCATGGTACTTGAAGAGCTGACAAATGATCTCTCTTTGCTAGTTCAGCATCTGTGAAATCCACGTGGTAGTGTTCAGAGATCTTTGCAGCTCTAGTAATGGTTTTCATCAGGCAGGGCAACATTTGCCCTTTATTAAACAAGTCCCAGTGAAAGTCAGAGTTGAATAAAAGTGTAAATCCGTGAACTGAGCATTGTAATCTCTTTGCTCTGAGAATGGTGCTATTCATTGTATAATTTTGCTGTTTGTGCAACTGTCCAAAGGTCATTTTAACTGTATCTGTTTCAGTACCTCTTTCAGCACTGAAGATTGTTAAAATTTCACAGTTTCATCATTAGTTACGCCTTCACAGAAGGCAGTGGAGCTGAACAGTGCAGCCTCCCATACCATATGCTGAATATTTCTGGACTGCAGCACTGTTCCAGATCAAATCAATGGGAAATTTTCTGCAGTGAGACCTAGACTGCTCTTTGACCAAGTCATTTCAGATGTGTCTGTATATGTTCTGTATATAAGTCTGTATATAAGACTGTTTGGGGGTTGTGCTGAAAACGGTGTTAATAATAGAGATATTTTTGTTATGACATTATGAGATGTTGAGGATGCATAATTGAGATGAGAGTAAAATGAACAAGTAGTGTGACCAAAATGACCAGACCCAATTTTTGTCATTGTTCTTGAATACCTGTTGAATGTTTACAAGGTCTTGCAGGGAAGGATGCTGAACAGAAGAAACAGCAGTTGAGTGCTTCCTCATTTCGTCTGTAGGTGGCAGGGAATGGACAGTCTCTCAGCTTTATCCAGCTACACCAAGCCAGTGTAAATAAGCTGATGTCTCAGAAGCTATAGTAGAGAGATTTGAGTGTAGCAGGAGTGGCAGAAACCTAATTTTTTGCTAAAGCAAGGAGAAAGTAGAATGTGGACTGGGATTATGGTGTCTTTCAACATGTAGCAAGGTCAATTACAGAATGCTGGCATGGTATAGTTCAAGTCATCTCTCAATCCACCTCTGTGCCTGATTCTCTGTGATAGAACATTTTTCTTTTTAAAAAATTAAGTAGTGATCAAATTAATTCTTTTAAGAAAAATCTGTTAATCTGCTTTAACAAGCATCTTCCCACATTGGCATTGAAAGCCAGAGTACCTGTATTTACTCTAGAAGGTGGAAGTCCTGTCCTGGAAACTTTTAATTGGATTGACTAGTGTTAATCATCTGTCCAACTTGTTTTCAAGTTATTTGGTAAAAGTGTATTTGCTGCTGTGGCGTGTTGCAAGTGTTCAATATTCAGTAGTCCTCAGACTTGTGCTGCTTTCCACATGTGGTGTGATGTCTAGTTGAAGATGACTACAGTAACAGTTAAGTAGTTTGGGACTTCACTGAGGTACCCATCAGTTTCAGTACTTGACTGAGTGAAAAAAAACCCCAACCTAAAAAACTTAGAGTAAGTACACAATAGGTGACTTGTTTTGAAGAAAGCAGTTAACTTGAATTCAATTCTTGGTCTTTGAGCTGTTCTGAAATTTCTTTCTGTAGGGCATGTAGCTTTTTTATGTTGTGAAACTTTTGCACATAACTCTAAATACTTCTGTTTTTTAGAATTTCAGTCAGTTAACTGCTATTGGTTCCACTGAAGAGGGTGGATGTAGAAATACCTAGTAAGGATGATTTAGTTTGGGGTTTTTTTTAGTATGTTTTATCTGGACTGCAATGCAGTATTCCTTTTCACATCAATGTGTCATTTTGACTTAGAGAAGTGAAATGAAAATAAGAATAAGCATGGTAGTAAATGGTAGTAACAATAAACAAGTCAGACCTGTTGGATGTTGTGAAATTGTATGCTCCACGATGCTGCCTTTCTTTTGCCAATATTCATCCATGGAGCTTATGAACATACTCCACAACGCCTCTCAGAAATAATCAATTTATATGCTGTTTTAAATAATGATTCACAAGATACTTCTGTCTTTCATTATTGTTTGCCTTCAAAAGAATTTTGTATCTTAAATATGCTTTAAAAGAACCTGGGTATATCAGAACACTTTAAAGTACAGACTTGGATTTCGGTGCACTGCTCTACAGATAATGCAGCCTTGTTTGTGAGCAGTAATTCAGCCTCAGCGGGTCTTTAATCAGGGGGTTCCATGAATTGCAGATGTCTTGGTACTAAGCTATGTGAGAATTGTTTCCATTTCTCTTTACAAATCCCACTTTTGAGCTGTATTTGCATAGCAGATTAGAGTTATTGTTAAACATGTATGGGAAATCATTCAAAATACTAAGTTTTCTTACTTAGCTGTAAAGCTGTATGTTTTACAAGTGCGCTCTGCTAAGAAGCAAGGTCTAACTTAAAATTTCCAGTCCCCACTAAGTATACCTTTACTTGTTTGTTTTCCTCTTACTTGTAGAACCAGGATGGATCATGTATCCAATCAGTCAGCCTTATTCTTAAGCAGGATCCCAAGAGGCAAGTGACTCTGACTCATTCAGGAGATGTTTTGATATATGACCAATACAAAATTAACCTACCTTATGCAGATGGTAAGGAATGATATATAAGCATATAATTCTTATCAAACAGTAAAGAAATATTTTATTGACATTTGTTTACTGTCAATATTGCTAACATACTGAAGTTAAATGGCATAGTTTAGTATTAATGTTGTTAATTTTTTATGAATGTTTTGCCAATTAACTACTGGCATACTTTTTACGTAATAGGAGTTGTACATTAGCTGTGTTGGGCTGGTGACTCTTAGGTTAAGATTGAGTTTGTTCTAACAAGTCCACATGCCACCCCTTACACTTGCAAGGTTGGTTAGTTCTTTTCTGAGGGGGAATTTTCTCTGATTCTTGAACTGAATAATCTCTTTTTCCCTTTTTGGTAAGAAACTCAAGTAAATGTAGGTGAAAGGAGCCCTCTTGCCCCTTACAGATAAACTACAGATTTTCAGATAAAAAAATTTATTTTGGTCCTTTTTTTTTTTTTCTTTTAACTTTTAAATCTCTCCCTCTCGAGATATCTGTTATTCTACTTACAAATATGTGACTGTGTTCTGTGAGATTTAGCCTTAGCTTTAATGAGAGCTTTTTAATGAAATCATTAGTGCATTTGATGTCTGCAAGACCTTGGGTTCACAAAGATGTATAGGCTTTAATATAGGAAGCATGTGCCTGGTGCCAGGATTACTTTGTCTACAAGAAGTGGTCTGCAGTGTTTGTATCTTTAAATTGATTTAATTTAGTTTACTTTCATGAACATTTCAGTGAACTCTGGATGCATTTTAAAAAAGTGGTGACTCTCACAAGTTTCTTGTTTTCTTCTTAAAAGTTTGAATCAGTGTAACCTTGCATGAGAAATCAATGATTAGGGGAAAACAGGGTCTTAATAAGAAAAAATGAAACTCTAGATAAAAATTATATGAACCAAAACCAGTGAAATGACAAGAAACAAAATGTAAATTACAAACAGGTTTCTTTTGCCTTTCAACAATCTGTTTTTACTCACCAGAATTATTTGAAATACGGAAACTGTCCTCTGTATTTCTGCAAGTAAAGACACACATGGGATTACAGATCCTGTACGACAGAGAAGGACTGAGGCTTTACCTTCAAGTGGATGAACGGTGGAAGGAAGATACCACGGGCCTTTGTGGGACCTTCAATGGGAATACAGAGGATGATTTTTTGTATGAATAGCTGCAAGATTTCTATTTTCCAGTATATGAATGTCAACAGCTAGTGGTAGATCAAGTGTGTACTGAAGCTGAATGGATAGATAGCAAGAATAATTTATTTTGCAGTTTTCCATTAGTGAGATAGATAGTAGGCTTTAGTTTGCTAACAGAAAATCTGCATGATATCAAACCAGGTTTTGCTTAAAATATTTTAATCTAAAAATACAGTGAAATATGTAAGGTGCTCAAAGGCTAATATATCGGAAAGGTTTAGTCCAAAATATGAAGTGGCCTACGTAAGGAATTTTCTACCTCCCTACAAGCCTCTCTTTTTCCAGCTCCTGTTTTCTGTTGCAATTTCTAACCTGCTACCTCTGACAGAGCCTCCATTGTTCAGTGCCTGCAGGTCAGCAACAGGAATTGGCTGTTGCCTGAGCTTCTCTTCCTTGTGATGCAGTGAAGGGTGGTCAGAGCTGCCTGAGCACTATAGTCAAGATTACTGTTTGTCCAGCTTCTTTGCAACATATTTCTCAGACAGCAAATTTGCTTCTGAGGGATTAGAGCAGCCAGGTAGAACTAGGAGAAGAACAGGAATGTAGAGCATGACAGAATATTTCTTTTACCAGTATAAGAAAAGAAAGAGTAGGAGAACTTTTTTCTCTCAAAACGGTTGGGTTTTTTCTAAATCAAGAGTAATTGAAAAATGAAAAAACTTTGTTATAGTTCCCATTTGGTAACACACATACACACACAAATATGCCAGTGGAATTTTGAACAAATCTATCTTACTGATTAAAAAGTATTATCAGAATATTATTTATAATGAGACTAGGAAATATATAAACAAGATCTCAATAAAGAGATTATTTATGTAGAACTACTTAAAATATTTCTCTTTGACAAGTAGTTTGGTAGTGTATTTTTGGTGACAGTCTTTGGATTGTTTTCATATAAGTGTGAAGTCGTTCAATAGTTTAGTACTTGCAGAAAAAAGTCCTTAAACTTGAGAAGTTACGAATTGTGCTGAGACATGACACAGACTATGGTGTACAAGCATTTTGATTTGTGTAAAAAAAACCCTGATCCACACCAGATTTGGGAGACTTACCATAGACAGTAGTGTCTTTTGCAACACCTCCACACCCAGCTATTTTACCAGCAGAAATACTACTGATAGTGTGCCTAATGCACTCTTTTCCTTAGACTAAAACACCCCCTATTTAAATGCACAGTTTTGATTGTTCTCCCTGTACAACCTGCCTTGGTTACTTTGATCACAGTCTTTATCATTCAGCTTCTATTGCCCCTCTAATTACCTGGGCCTCATGGATATCTATTAAATTGCTTTTGCAGTTATATTTCTGAATGCTTATATTTCTTTCCCTTCCTCTTCCTTGCAGAGAATAAAGAGCGTGGAAATACAGCTACCCAGAAACAGACAGGAAAATATAGGTAGAGGATAGAGAAAAATGGATCAGATATCACTGGGGAAGCAAAAGTAGGAATAAGAGAGTGCAGACTGTCAGGACAGTGGTGCATCCTCCTTCTCTCTTATAAAAACGAAACTTGGTCTATTTTGATCTTTCCTTCCTTAAAAGGTATTTAACAGCTCTAGTTCGCATCCTGTCTTTCCTTCCTGGGCCTTTACCTGGAAAGAAAGAAGATCCCTGAAGCTTAAGTTGACAGTGCTTTAGAGGAGAGAGCATGAGAATATGGAGCAGTGCAAGGGGAGCTTGAATAGACATGGTAGAACTGAGACTATTTTGTACATTCATTGTATCTTTTCTGACTGAACTCTGTTTTGTAAAAGATCTCCAGTTGGAGTAACTGAAAGCACTCCAGAGCTGTTTGGAAACACGTGGAAGACTTCATCGGCGTGCATTGTTGTGCATGATAGTTCACAAATGGATCCCTGTGATATTCATCTGCAGGCAGGTGGGCAGTGAAGGCCAATTGTTATTGGCAAATTACTTTCTACTTAGTACATCTGTGCCCATTTTCCTAGTTGGATCAGGTAAAGGAATAACCAGTCCTACCCACTGAAATAATTATTACTTACAGGTAGCATGTGCTGAGTTCAATCCTCTAAGAAATCATACCGTGTATTGTTTAAGGATTTGGGGATACTTGCAGAGGCACTTGAAATACCCCCTTTTTATTTCTGGTTTTCAGTTATGCTTTATTAAGTTAGACATGCATTAAAGATTGATAATATCTCTAGTATTGGTGATGCTGCTAGTTAAGATGGAAACTAAAAACTATTGCAGCATTCACTTTTGAAAATACTGAAAGAATTAAATACTTGATTTAGTTGTCTACCATTGAAGAGGATGAGTAGGAAAAAAATGCTGATGCACTGACAGTCTTTAGATTCAGCTACAAGGGTCCAGTTGGGGAAATATGCTAGTGGCTGATGCCATGAGGACCACAGATGGTCACTAAGTCATCCTTTAATAATGATGAACTTTGTAGATCGTCAGTTATATCCATTTCACAGTTCCTACCACATCCTGTCTTTGTCTGTACACACTTGTTGAGACATAAAGGTAAAATGTTAAGGGTTTACCTGTACTTTCAGCAGTGGTAGGGAATCATCATGCTTCTTGCTACAACAGCATCTGTCTTTTGAGTATTTATACAATAGGCAGTATTAAGAAACTGTATTCTTTGTAACGGGTTTGGACGTGAATGTAGAAAGAATTAGCCTGTATAGGAAGTCAGAAATTCTGGAAAAGGGATTTTGAAGTCCTAGTTTATGCATTATGCTCTTTTTGGTGGTAAATTTATCTCTTTATTGGTATGCAAATATAGCATATTATTTATTTTTTCCACTATTGCACAACTATTTAATTCATTCAGAATTGAGATATTCAGGTGAGTGCTGTGTTTGGAGCTTACACAGCTATTTGATACTGCTCTTGCTCTCCTGTGTGACAAACCAGCAGCTCTGGTGCTGGGTGCAGCCTTATGCAACTGAAGCAATGGGTAATAGATTATTCTTTACAATAATGACCTACTGAAGTATTTATTGGGAGTGACTTAAGCTAAAGTGATGGACTTAAGCTAAAGTGATGTGTAATGAAATATGTGTTTGCCAAAGGCACTGGTTAGTTTATAGCACCTGTTGCTTAACTTAACTCCATGAATCAGTTTAAAGGTAGAAGACTTGACTGTAGGCACTGTCTGCGTATTGTAAAGTTTTCTGAATACCTTAAAATCATACCAAGAACAAGCTCAACACTATGAGCAGCTAACTTTTTTTTCCTACTGTGCAGTTGTATAGATATCAAAGATAAAAAGATTACGTGGCAGAAGTATATAACCATGACCAGTTGCATTGTATAGAAAACAGTTTTTGTTCCAAGTCTTTTTAAACTCCTTCACTGAAACAGTGTTTAATCTGTTATTTGTGTAGCCTCTTATGCAGCGGAAGCTTGTAGCATCCTTACGAAAGATCTTTTTGCTCCATGCTACCCCTATTTGAGTCCTGTTCCCTATTTTGAGCAGTGCAGAAGAGACACTTGCAAATGTGGACAGACTTGTTTTTGCTCTGCTCTGGCCCATTACGCTCATCATTGCCGAAGGTTCGGAGTTGTAATAAATTTCAGAGGAGCTGTCCCAGAGTGTGGTGAGTTTCCTTTCACTTCTGGTCTTAAATAGTTACTGTTGGAGGACTTTAGAATGACATTTGGAAAATAAAATTAAATTAATATAATCTTTTAAATGAGAAGAGGATTAATCCCAGCATGATCTTTTGTGCACAGGACAAGGTTCTTTTTTGTCAGGACGGAATTTAGTACCAGTGTTTTTAGAGGATTGCTGCTTTACAGTTTACTTTCTTTAGTTCTTGGTTTGGGAAACATTGCAAAGATTTTACTTTTAAGTAGTTGGAGGGCTTCAAATGTGCGAGAATTAAAAATGTCTGAATCTCTTATATGCCATTGTGTATCTCATACCATGTAGATATTATTCATGAGCTGCATATATAGATTTGTTTCCTCATAGGTGCTAGGTTTATCTAATTCTTTAAATGAATGAGGTGAAAAATGATAGTGATGTATTCAGCAGTTTTAGTTGGAATACTGCCAACTGACTGCTGTCTGACAGTCTGTCTTAGCTTATACTCTTACTGTCACTGACGCTGAAATACAGAGTGCTTAAGTAAGTGTTGAAAATTGGTATTGTTGACGTGTAGTTTGAAATGAATAGAAGAATATAAATATTATAAAGGTAGCCAAAGGTGACATATTGTATCTGCTTTATAAAGCCTCACAAGTAGAGGAGTGGGATAATATTATTAAGCTTTTTCATTTATATTAACCTCTAGCAATGAAAAAGATATTGATAGGACATGTAGTGCCCTCATGTACATTTTTTAAAAATTATAGAATTGGAAACCCTATAAAACAACCTGAAATTTGTACCCCTGATATTTCAGTAGGTTTAACAAGGCTTTTCTAAGGAACATTCAAGAATTTTAAGATCTAGAAGTTGTTGTCACATCATTACACACGTCACAACATTATCCATGTTGTAATGCATGATAAAGATGATATAGGAAAGTTGGTCCAGTTTAAGTTTCTGTATGTATATCTGAAAAACTGGCTTGCTTGCATTCCTTTTGGCATGAATGGCCATGCCCACTATGACTGAATGAGTCATTTGAACCATTTGACTTTATTTTACTTTTCTAGAAGCAAGTATAGTTTTCCTGTAATATATTCTAAAATTCATGCTTCTAGGGTTTAAAATATGTGAATCTTTTTAGTATTTCAAGAACTTCAGATTTTTTTTCTAGTAGTGTAGGAGACACATATATATATATAGATAGATAAAGATATATAAAAGAAATTTTAAGATGGTATTGTGCAACATCTGCAAAGTATATATATTTTATGTATTGCTTTCAACAGTTTATTTAAGATGCTCTGGGTTTCCAAAAGCCCATGCACAAGGGGCATTTTCAGAGTTAAGAGGTAAAAAGGCTTCAGTTGTTCAGTTTCCCCAGTGAAAATCTGGATTAACTGCACAGGCTCATCGCACTTGTTATTACTGTGGATTTACATCTGCGTAGTTTACACCACATAGTGCCAAGATAGCAATTTTAGTGGAATTTAATGTGATTGGGAGTGAAAGAATGGAGATGTTTATCAGAAAAGTGTTGGGAGGTCCTTGAGTCTCTTGCACCGTAATTTGAGAGACTCATTTCATTTGGACAGCTCTTTCATGTGAAGATACAAAGGAGTACAGTACTTGTGTATCTACCTGTGGCAGAACCTGCCAAGCACTGTCTGTGCCAGAGACATGCAGCAGTGATTGTGTTGAAGGCTGTGCTTGTCCCTCTGGAATGTATTTGAACTCCAAGACTGAACGATGTGTACAGAGGTAGGTAAAGCTGCGGTTCTGATAGTCACACTCGCTCTTTTAGACCACTGCATTTGCAAGTCAGAGTGAAAAGCTAATAAACATGTAATGTTGTAGATGACATGCATCTGTAAACTTGTCAGGGTCTTAGAATGATACAGAACTGATGTCTGTATTGATTAAAAAATAGCTTTTCTATAATATGGACACTCGTCCAACATCATCAACACTAGTTGTTACATTTTGTCTGATTTTTTGATATATGAAAGATAGGAAACGTAAGGTTCTACTTTCTTACTGATTTGGTTTGGATGTGCTTGAGTTATATGGCAGTTGAGACCAATTTCATGTTTTTTAAAAAAACCCAACCAACTGCAAAACCCCCAGCCAACAAAAAATACCTCACCAAAAACAACAAAGCAACCAATTGAAATTTAAACAGCAGTTATGTCAGTGGGAATTTTTTTTTCTTTCTTCAGTTTGGGTAATCAGTTTCATGGTTTTTTTCTCTACTCCAGAAATGAATGCCCATGTTATTTTCAAGGAATTGACTATCCCCCTGGAGAAAATGTTATGACATCTTTAGGCAAATGGTAAGATACAAAACTGTTTTCACGTGACTAAATGGTATCGCTTTAAGAGTTCTGTCAAATCATTCTGGCTAGAATGCTGGGTTTTGTTCTTTTGGTATTTTTTTTAATGAAACACACAGAGTAAAGGTACACCTGTTTTCTATGCATATTTGACAGAGGTTCTTTAGAACTTAACTAAAAGCAGAACAGAACAAATAATGTCTGTGATGGATATCACAAGTATTATCAGCATAATACTTTGGTTTGTTGCAAAGGCCATATAAGAGATTGGTATTTTCAGACACCTATTGCAATAGGGGCACTTAGACTCATTTTCACTTTTATCGGCAGTTCATAAATACTGATCATTATAAATCTATATCTTAATCATCAAGTTGGCTGATTTTTACCTTAGGGCAGATTTCCTGGAGAGTGTCAGGCAGCCCATTCTGCATATGGGGCTGTGCAAAGGCTGGGTGCAGTGTTGCCTTTGGTACTGCTTTGCCTGTCGCCTGGGTTATACTGTGGAGTCCTCGAGAACTTTCCCTGCAGGGCTTTGGGGTCCACACAAAACTCCAAAAGTATTTACAGAATGGCTGTGGCACATGCAGAATTTGATTCTGAATCTGCTGACTAGCTGTAAGGACACTGGGGATGTCTCAGCCATTGCAAAGAATGGAAGAATAGTGCTGGAGTTCATGGGCTCAGGCTCTCTAGTGAAGCACAGGACATGAAATGAAGCCAGTACTGCTTCAGTTTTCCCTGACAACAAGTTGCAACCAGAGCTGCTACCACTTTGTAAAAGTACTGGACCATTTTGGCTTGCATTAGACAGGAGCAGTCAGTGTTAGGTTTCTCGGTGCTTCCCTGCATAGAGTATCTTGTTAGGGTTGAGTTTTCTGCAGTGTTGAACTGTTTCACGTAGGGGGAAAAATGTTTTGTCTGTTCCTGTCTGTGTGGTATTTTGCGTATGTGAGTGGGTAAACATGCTACAACTTTATGATAGAGTAGCTGAAAGTTTTTATTTTGAATATTTGATTAGCTTGGAATTGTTTGAAATTTTTTAGGTTCTGATTATGAACTGTAGTTCCAGGTGGTTCTGATAATAGCCACAGTAGGCTGTGATTTCAGATTCTTATCATTTTGCTGAAGCAAAATTACTTTGAGACAGCATGAGGATGAAATTTAGCAATTGCTTCACTGTTTCCTTCTGTGAGCCAGTAATACTGAAGTAATTGAAACATTCATTTTGTTATAAATTAGATGGAAACCCATGATCTTGTCAGATATTTGCTGGTAGATACCTGTTTGTGTTTCATGCTAGGAGTGGTTGAGAGAAGAACAAGTTACCGATTCGCTGTTACTATGTTGTGCTTGGGTAAATGTCGCTCTAGTACAAAATATTGTTGCAGATACAATAACTTGTGATTTTATTATATTCAACATTGTGGTTTTGCCTTCAGCTGTGGGAACTTAAGAACTGTTGGTGTCATCAAGATTTTCACCTAAACTAGTAGCTTGCTTTTTAGCAGAGTTCTATGATTGATTATGGTGAGAAGAATGGAGTGTTAAGAATGTTCATATATGAGTACATACCCAGAGCTTGCTGTATCCTGTACATATATGTGTTTAGGGTTTGGTTTTGTTGCTATTGCTCCTTGCATTTTTGTTTCAGATAATAACATTTTTTTTAAGTTTGTGGCTTGGTTTATTATTACTGCATTGATATTTAGGGGGCAGTATAGTGGTATGTTCCTGTACGTATTCTTTTGTCAGGCCAGGTATCTTAACTCATAATAACATTATGTATAAAGCAAAAGTTTGAAGTGTAACTGATATTCTTCATGTGTTAAGGCAACGCACACTTTATCCACAGTTCTGATGTTCAGTGCAAACATTTATACAGTTACTTTGTAGTGACTTATACTGCATGCTTCATTTTTAAATAGAAAACATTAATATTTCACATCTTCCTGGCTCTCATTATATCTCTGTATATTTTTATTGCAGCCATTGCAGTGATGGAGTAATGAATTGTGATAACAACATAATAGGTGAGTGAAGAGAGAGGTAAAAGATACTTCAAGTCCAATGAATACATATTCTCCAATCCCTGTGGAACCTCTTGCCTGTAGTAGAAGATTGTGCAATTGTACAAATTAATAACTTCCAGGAGAGGATCCATAATTTAGAAATTATATGGTTGTGTATTTGAAAGCAAGGCTGGTGCAAAGCAGCAGTATAACTGTTCAAAATACTGTTAAATCTGAGCAACTTTTTTCCCCAGTGCTTTAAAATATTTTTTTTTTAGATTGCTAATGCAGATAAGCTTAGCTGCATGATAAACAGCAGACTTTCGGTAGGGTAAACAAAAATTTGCTTTGCCCCATAAAACATGAGTGTAGGAATTGAATACTGGCATTAATTTTTTACAAATATGTTTTCTTTCTCTCCACAAACTCTGAGTAACAGAACTATGAAAAAAAATATTTATTTTGTCATACTTTGCAATACAATGTAACAAGTGCTTTTTCTATTACAGTATATTTCATATATCATTAAGTATTATGGTCCATACTCGTGTTATGACGTGTGTTTTATTTCACTGGGAATAACGTTTATTTATTTGAGGTTTCCATTCTGGAATTGCCAACTCTTTGACCAGAAATTCCCCATGCACTTGAAGGTGGTGGTTTTACCAATTTTACAATTTTCCAGGACCTCTCTCCTTAACAAATAATTAAGTAAGCAAAACCCCAGCAACCAACCAAAATCAATTTAAAACGCTGAGACTACTTCTGGCATTTTTGTTTTGTGTACACAGTATGTTCAGTGCAGCCCTAAAGCAATTTTGCAAGAGAGTTGTTTTATTCATGGTCAGTGCTCCAGCATGGAAAGTCATATCTAGTTCTCAGATTCTTTGTATCTTTTTCTTTCTGTTGAAATATGTTTCTCTGTTCGTAGTACTTTGCATGTCTGGACTGATTCCTAACTAACCATTTAGAAAGTCATGTCCCTTACTAAAGGAATATATTAATTTCAGTATTATGTATGAGACTTATAGATGTTCTATGAAGTTAACTATGTTTAGGAATGAGAGGCAATTGGATGTTTAGTAGTATTACTGGATACAAAATTTCGACTATGAAGATCAATGTGTTTGTCAATTTTTCCCCCAGCACACAACTGCCCAGTTGGACAGATTTATATTAACTGCACAAGTAATCCACAAGTTGATCCTGAACTCAGCAGAGAGAGAACTTGTGAAAATCAGCTGCTAAATCTCACTTTCTCAGCACACCTTCCTTGTGTGTCAGGTTGTGTCTGCCCACCAGGGTGAGTATGTGCATCTTTTGGTGCACAAAAATAAATTACAACCTTCAGTAGCGATTGAGTAATTAAATCTGCTGAGGTTTTCTGCTCAGCAGAATTCTGCTTGGAGAAGGTTAATTGTCAAAGGGCGAGCATCCAACTTGTGACGGCTTACACCTCGATTTTGTCAGTTGAAGTCATAATAAATGCTAAACCAAGAGGCAAGTGGAGCCAAAGGTCTAATACCTCACAATAATAAAGCCAAAATAGCAAAATGTGATTCAATCCCTGTAGTGCAGCAGAACTGGGTTTATCTACATATTTTTTTCAGTTATCTAAGCTCTTATTTGATTATTTTGCTGAGGGAAACGTGTTTCTTCATTTATAGGCATAATTTTCAATATTCTCTCCCTCAAAAGGATCTTTAAAGCTTTGGGAATTTATGTTGATAATGTGCAGATGAACTTCTATTGTGTTTTGAAATCAAGCACTGTATTGTTGAGAGATTTTTGAGTATAAAAATAACAGTGTGTTTAAGTTATGCTGTTTTTGATGGGGTTTAGTTTCTTGAGCACATAACTTGAAGGTTTTGAATATTATCACTTTAAAATTATTGTTTATACCTTGTGAGCCACCTCAAAACAAAGAGTAGAATCCAGAGCCTCACTTTATCTGGGTTGAAATAGCTCAGTTGAAGTCTGTGGACTCATACTGATTGATGTGTAGATATTTCTATGTCATGATAAAAGGTTGCTACGCAGAATTCTGGGGTTTTACCTAATCATTCAGAAACATGAAATGTCAAATGGTTCACATGAAATGGAACCTGTAATTAATCCAAGTCACAATATGGTACCGTGGTGAAAAAGTGCAGTGCTGAGGTAGGTTTTGAAATTACCTGGAGGTGAGTATTTTCAGAATCACAAAAACTCACCTCCTAGACCTGGCAGATACCCTTCAAAACCAGTGGTTACCTTCAGCAGCACTATATGGCTGGCAACTCAGATCATATAAACTTCTTATTCTCTGCTATTCTGCTGTGCGTAACCCACGAGGTTGTGAACTTCTCTGCTGCTTCCTGGTGTAAGTTAGTTCTGGAATTTAAACAATTAAAATTATTTTTAGTGTTGGAAGGCTCACTGTCAAGTGTTAGTGATCCCAAAGCTCTGGTAGTATGGCTGTTTATTTAAAGGAGTCAGAGTTTTATGATTTCCTAGGAACAAAAATAGAAAATTAAAAAGTTTCTTTACTTTGGCAAACTGAATTCTGTTCTCCCAAGGCTGTACGCTGCCTGTAAAGATACTCACATAAACTTTTTTTGGGTTTTTTGGGGGGGAGTGGGGAAACACAAGGAGAGGTTTGTTTGGTTTTCAGGATTTTATCCTCAATTGTTAAGGTAGAACTAGGAAACAGTGTTAGGAGCCTAGGATTTGAATTAGAGTTTTAACTAGAATCTGTACTGAAGAAGTAGAAATGACAAAGTTATTTGCAAGCTTGTCAAAACTGATATCTTAAATATTCAGCTCTAGTGGTCTGATATTGCTGGTATGTTTTATGTTTTTATTTGAGATTGCTTTAGGAAAAATTGAGATGGTCCCGAAGGTGCGTGTTTTTAGGTGTGCTTTTGGAAACATGAGAGACTTCTGCTATGCCTTAACTGTGCAGGTTTTTTATTTAGACAATGAATCCTAATGGTTTAGGAATTTTAATAATAGTTGCTTTTGGATAGAATCTGTTAGAACTGAATAGCCCTAACATTTTAAGTCAGTCAGTGAATTCATACTCCAATGATACTGCATGCTCCATACTGCAGATTGACCACGTTTGAGTCAGAGCAATACAGTAAGGTGTAAATCTAAATTGTTGGAAGAGAAAGATAGATGAAATACCATTGCCTTCACACAGTACCTTATCCAGTGTTGATAACAGTTCAAGGAGTGCAGAGTTCAAATGCACTGTGAATTTGTGCAACTTTAAAATCACCTTTCTAGGCAATCAGTTCTTGCTGGTGAAATATAAAACTGAGGTGACACTGTCCACTTCAAAAGGGTGAAACAGCCACAGAATTTCTTTGATCTTAACGTTAGTTTTTTACCTGAAATAATTAATCCTATTCCTTTATTAATGCTTTTGCTCCTTTTTGAGATCTTGTATCTGTTTATCTTGATTCATTACCTGTAAGCTAAACAGACTTAAGTAGTAATGAAATCAGTTTAATGTACTTGATTAGGTAAACTAATGAAATCAGTGAAATAAAGTGAATATGTCACAGTTAAGAAACCTGTATTGGAAACTACATTTTTTCATGAGGAAGGACCTTTCTGATCTATTGAATGGGCTGATTATTCTTCAGTGATACCATGGAAGGTACTTAACACAGAGAAGGAAAGAACCTCTTTTTACAGCAAAGGTGTTAGGATTTCAAGACAATATTTTTATTTTGCAGACTTATTTTTCTAGTGTCTGGAGTCTGAAATATTCCTTCAAATACTTCACTATTTCTAGCATTCCTTCTTTCTTGTGCTCAGAATACATTCTAATGGTCCTTGCATAAAGTGGAGATTAAATTTAAAATAAGTAGATCACAGGGAAAAGTAGCAGTTGTCTCCAAATGTGCTTCATTTGTCCTTCTTTTTAATCTGTAGTGAGTAAATCAGATGCAACTAACCGTGCTTAAGTAAATATTTAAATTCACAGGAGATCATTCTATGGGTTACAGTTCTTATGGTATAAAAATTACGATTATACACTTTCCCTCTGTTTTAGAAGTTGTTGAGGTTACTTTCTAATGTTGGTCTACCCTGCACTGTTTGACATATTTGATGATTTTTAAGATTTTGTTTTTTCTTACTGTTTTTCATCTGTCACTATTTAGATGGAAATTTCCTATATTTCTGTGCTGCATTTCAGAAAAAGAATTAATACTCTGTTTACAGCACAGTTCATAATCTTTCAAGTTCAATATTTGAGTTACATTTTCTGCTTCTGGGTTGCTATGACTCAAGTGATTTTGCCCTCCTTAACTATACACAATGTGTATGATTTGACATGAAGACAGGATCTATAATAAGACTGAAGAAGAAACAAAGAGCAAAGACAGAGTGAAAAAAAAAAGAGGAAAAACAGTAGTATCTTCCTATATTTCTGCATACTATGTGATGTTTACCACAAATGGATGTATGCTGGTTGGTGCCTTTCCTTTTCCATGGTCTCCAGTCAGATCAATAATGATCTCTGAGACAGCCAGCTTCTGTGCATTGTTCCTTATAGCCTGCTCTTAGTGTTGCTGCCATGAAAAACAGTTATTTTCCTGAAGGAATTACTTGTGTTTTCTCACTTACCCCATTGACATCATTTTACCCTCTGACTGAAGCATGAATTGGATTTAACTGATCTATACTTCATAAAGCGTACAGTGTAAAATCTGCACTGTAGATACAAGGTGTATAGTTTTGTGTGGGTATTATAACAGCTGGAGTCAATGACCTTAGAGATCTTTTCTAACCTAAATGATTCTATGACTCTAAGAGCAGCCCTGTAGGCTTTTTGAGGACAGATGCTTTTATTTGAATTGTTTTGTGATATACATTAGTATATATTTTAGATCATGTTATCCATACACATTTCCATTAACTGAAATATTTAGTAATTTCCATTTATATTTTACATTAATGCTACCTTGTTGGAAAAAACAAGAGGCCCTAAATATGAATAATAAATAAGAATTCTGAGAATTATGTCAATAACTTGCACTACAAATTGTCTCAGATGCGCAGTAGTGTTTTCAATTACTTCTGTTGCATCTACCTAATAGATCTTCCTTATTTTCTCCCTTTTGTGGTTCTATCCCCTCTATAAGCTATGTCAGTTAAACCATCTGCTATACAATTAACCTAAAAAGAGGAGTCTCTGCTAACTTCTCAGTATTTTGGAACAAAGGAAATTGTTGTTGTGATTAACTTCATTTGAACTTTAACTTATAACCAACTTCTCTTCCTAATCATAGTTATAAAGCTGGCTGTAATTTTCTCCTTGTTTCAGTGACTTTTTTCCCCCCTCAATGTTAGTAGTGCAAGACAATAAAAAATGGATTCTCAGCTGACTACTAGTAGTGATTATCTGTCACTTAATTTCTCACAGCTCAGCAACATCCAATACCCAACTGGATATTTTATGGAGTGTCAACAGACTGTCCTTACAAAGAAAGCAACATCATTACCAATTATTCATTGCAATTACTAAGAACAGATATTTTGGGATCACAGTTCAAAGTATGAAAGGAACACTTACATACTATTTTGAAATACTGTGCTCCATTTTTCCAAGTATGTATATTTATTTATATGGTCTGTGAACCTGCTTGAACCTCAAGAATACCAGACAGAATTGCTGTATCAAAGTTTTCTTTTTTTCCTCTCTACTATATCCTCTACTATATCACTTATACTGTGTGAGCCACACAGCCTTTTTAAGCAACATCTCTGAAAACTTTTTTTCTTATGTAAATTTTGGAAAAACAAAACCAATCCCTCTATCCCTGCCCTCTCCCAGAAAAACATTTCATTTTACCAACTTTACACCCATGGATTTCTGCAGATGTGGCTTGTGGTTGACAGTTCACGAAATGGAAAAGTTAACAGGGATTTTTATTTTCTTGATACCAAACTGTATGCAATTTATGCAGTGTTTTCTTTCCAAACAGTTCGGTGTTGGCACACTGAGTTATAGTTATTAAGACTGAAATCTGTGGGACCAAGTTTTGATTCTAGTGTTCCAGTATCTGCCTCAGTTTCTCTTCTGAATTAGTGGTGTGGAGTTACAAGGCAACAGTCTCTGGTGTGGTGGGACAACACTCCACCTCTGCAGACAACTGTGATCACTTATGACAGAGAATGTTATCTTTTGTGCTGAAACTGGACTCTACTAAATTTGGGGCAATTTAACATAATAAGAATTTTTGTCTTTTTTTCATCACTTATTGCTCTCATAAAACAAAACTATGAAAAGGTAGTAAATTCAAGGCT